ACGGACTCGTCCGAAGGTGGAGCTGAGAGCGAGTGACCTGTAGCCAGAGGAGTGGCCTGTGCCGAGGACCAGGTGAAGCCGAAGCGCTGAAGGACCTGCTGCACCATGTGTGACTGAGTCAGTGTGATGGTGCAGCGTGCTCTGTCCCGGGTGATCTGCAAGCCAAGGTAACTGCGCAGCTCACCCAGGTCTGTGCACGTGTGTCTCTTCTGCAGCTCCGACTTCACCAGGGCGAGAGCCTCAGTGTCAGCAGTGGCAAAGACCAAGTCGTCGACGTACACGAGGATGTAGAACGGCGGCAGCGAAGTGTCGGTGCGCAGAAACAGCGACGGGTCAGCAGTCGACGGAGCAAACCCAAGAGCAGCAAGTGTCGTCCTCAGTGTGTCGTGCCACTCACGTGGCGCCTGGAGGAGACCGTAGACCGGCCGCCGGAGGCTCCATTGGGTACCAGGAGGGAACGACCCAGTGAAGCCAGGAGGGCGGCGCAGCCAGATCTCCTCGTGCAGGCTGCCCTGTAAGAACGCTGTGCTGAAGTCAAGAGAGTGAAGCTCGTAGTCACGCTGAGCGGCAACGTGCAGCAGTACCCGAAGAGTGGTCATCTTCGGGGTGGGGGAGAAGGTCTGGAAGAAGTCGACTCCCTCCCGCTGACTGAAGGCTCGAGCAACGTAACGAGCCTTGAAGACGGGAGGAGAACCTGGAGGCCGCTTCACCCTGAAAATCCACATGCCACTGACGAGCTGCGTGCGGGCCTGGCGCGGGCTGTACGGGCTGCGTGCGGGCCTGGCGCGGGCTGTACGGGCTGCGTGCGGGCCTGACGTGGGCTGTACGGGCTGCGCGACGGCCTGGCGCGGGCTGTACGGGCTTCGCGACGGGCCTACGCGGGCTGTACGGGCTTCGCGACGGGCCTACGCGGGCTGTACTGGCTGCGCGCGGGCCTGGCGTGGGCTGTACGGGCTGCGCGACGGCTTGGCGCGGGCTGTACGGGCTGTGCTCGGGCCTACGCGGATTGTACGGGCTGCGCACAGCAGAAAAGGGCAAGGCAGCGCGAAACGCTGGGCAGGGCAGAAACTAACGGTCGGGCAGGTGAAAACGAATGTGGTGGGCCCTTAATTACGGTCCTAGGCTAGGACCGTCCTAGCTCTGATACCATGTTAGAATACTAGGAAGGAATGTGTGATGAGGTCAAGGGGGGGGTACAAGAAGAATGTCGAGAGAAATGTTGTAACCCCTAGTGCTAACCCCCATACAGCCTAGATAACCTAAACATGCATATATGATTTGACACGCACAACAGCTCACACAATACTGCCCGCGCAACAGCAGTCGCACGCACAGCAGCAGCCGCACGCACAACAGCGTCTGCACGCGCAGCATCTGCAGCACGCACAGCACCAGCTGCGCGCACAGCAGCAGCCACGAGCACAGCAGCAACCACGCGCACAGCAATAGCCGCACGCGCAGCACCCGCGCCTGCAGCTGCAACTGCATGCGCCTCCAACTGAAACCGCACGCACAACAGCGCCGTGCACATAACAGCATATGCACAACAGCCTCAATTACCAGCCCGTTCTCTTGGTGACACCTCTCGCAACGGCTGGAGGCCGCATCCTCACTCATTTACTCGCATCGTTCTTAGGGCTTCGTACTTCCTCCCGAGCGTCGTGTTAGGGTTTGCGCATCGCTTTTCACTTTCACCCGTCGTTGTGACCGGTTTTCCTCACCTTTTTATTCTAGCTGTGTTCGTTACCCGCCTCGCCGGTCCCTAGACTAGCTATTCTAGCGCCAACCGCTCTTCGTTCGCTTCCAGCTCCGGCCGTTTCTATCCTTTCGCTACTAGTCCAATCGAGCACTCACCATGGCGTCCTCTTGAGTTCTATGTCTCGATGCGGAGGGTAGAGCACTAGATTTTCCCAGCTGCCTCCTCCGCGCCAAGTTGTATCTCCAGAGTCAGCGCGAGGATGGTGACATGCTCTGGGCGCACGCCTCTGGTAACCTGCCTCCCCCCCCACGCCTTGCAGACCTGCCTCTTGAGCCTACTGACGCTAACCGGGAGCGCTTTGCTCAGGGCCGCACAGCTTTGTTAACATAGCAGGCTCGTGAAGCTGCGGCTCGTATTGCGCATACTAGCCTTCTCCCCGAGATCGAGTAGGCCCACTTCAGCCAGGTTCGCTTTGCCAAGGATTGTTTTGATGCGAGTAAGACCCGTTAATCCACTCCCTCCTCCGCCTCTCTTGGTCTCTTCATGCCTCTTTTGTTTCACGACCGGGACCGTTCACTTCTTCTGCTGACCTTGTCACCCACCTGCACTCGCTCGACGCTAGCTACCGTGCTGCATGTACCAAGTCTGAGCTTGCAGTCCCCACCCCCCCCCACCTGGCCCTATCCACTTCATAGTCACTAACCTCCTTGACCGCCTTGCACCTGTATACGACGAGTTTTTTCGGAAGCACCCCAGTGTGCTCACTATAGACGTCCTTGAGGTAGCTCTCAAGGACATCGAGAGCAAAATCGTCTCGGTTGCCTCCGCTTCTGCCGCCGTAGTTCCCCACTCTTTCAGGGGTGTACTGCCCTACAGCTTCACTGCATCTCTTGCCTCTCCAGTGTCTCCTGCTTCTGACGAGACTGCAGCCGTGTTCGTCTCTAGTATGAGGGCCCGAGAAAGGGGAGGTAAGAAAGGGGGGAAGGGTGGTGGCGGCGGCGGTGGTGGAGGGGGTGGTGGAGGTAGTGGAGGTATTAGTGCGTCTAGTGGAGGCGGCACTGGAGGTGGTAATGGGCCTGCAAGCCCGATGGGAGGGGGTGCTGGGCCAGTTGGTTGGTACACAGCACAGCAGCGGCAGCAGTTCTAGCAGAAGCAGCCACAGCATGGACAGCAACATCAGCCGAAGCAGGGACAGCAGCAGCAGCAGCACCAGGGATAGCCACAGCAGCAGGTACAGCAGTAGGTGCAACAGCACTCTCAGAAGAGGGGACCTGGTGGACTAGGGAGCGCTGGTCGTGGCGGTGGCCCACCTAGCTGGGCGTTGCGTGGTGTCGCTCCTACTCCTTGCGCGTACCTTATTTAGACGGGCACTCGTCAGGGTGGCCCCTGCGGACGTTTTCACCCTTCAGGCCAGTGATTTGCGCAGCTCACTGACCGCCTCCATGCTCAGTATGGTTTTGATCCCGCTCTGGACTGGGTTATGCTGGCTCGCTCCCTTGGCCTCGCGTTGTTTGATATGTTTGCACTAGAGTTGCTTGAGGCATTGTGATCTCATTCTATTATGTATGTCGATATTACCTATAGTGCTCCTGGATCTGTTTGCTCGCGTATTCATAGTTTAGGACCCTTCCATGTTCGCTAGTGTAGCTGCTCGTGCTTCCAGTCTAGGTGCTTGTGTAGTTACTAGCCCAAGTGTACCTGCGGCTGATGCGTCACTCTCCTTCACGCTGGACTCTGGCGCATCTAGGTGCTTCTTCCGCGACCATACGACTCTCACACCGATTCCTGGTCCGGTTCTGGTTGCACTGGCTGATCCTACTTTAGGACCACCAGTTGCTCGCAGCTCTACCACCCTCCCGTGCCTGGCTGCCCCCTCTAGTGTCCTCACTGGTTTACACATCCCCTCGTTCTCCAGTAACTTGGAAGGCGTGGGACCCCTTTAGGACCTCGGTGTTGGCACCTGGTTTCCGCCGCACGAGCGTGTTGCGACCTGCACGGACGGTGGCACTAGGGCTATACTGGCCACATTTCATTGCGAGCCCCGCTCAGGTCTTTCCACACTACACACCGCGCCCCCCCAGGTAGCTTCGTTTGGTCAGGTTGCTGCGTCATGCTCCTGTCGAGCACTCGTCCACCCGACAGTCGTGTGGCACCACCGTCTTGGACACCCGTCCCTCTCACGTCTCCTTCACATGTCTAGCCAACGCCTTGTCTTAGGTCTCCCGATCGTGTTTGCGTCTCTCCCTCATTCGCTTGCGTTGCCGTGCACTCTTTGCGTCGAGGGTAGGCTGCTTTCCACTCCTCACTTCCCAAGGGTAGGCTGAGGTCGAGATCTATGCCGGTGCCATGGCTGCGCAGGAACTTCGCTGGTTGACCTTCTTGCTCACCGACCTTGGTGAGCGGCCTCGCTCTGCACCGACCTTGTTCGCTGTCAACAATGTCATGATCCTCCTGTGTCGAGAGCCTCAACTGGAGGGCAGGGTGAAGCACATCGACGTGAGGTACTTTCTACTGCGAGAGTTGCGCCGATGCGGCCATGCACGCTTGGACTTTGTAGCTTCAACGGCCAACACAGCAGACATCTTCAACAAGGCCCTTCCGCCTGGTGACCACCACAGATTCTGTTTGCAGCTAGACCTTGTTGAGGCAGGCTCTCGGTTATGTAGTCTTGCCTCTTGTTTCTAGCTCTGTCTGTCTTGCTACTTATATATATATGTGAACTCTTGAACTGGCCTTTTGGCCCCTTGATTTCTCTCAGACAGTATGGTGAATTCGTGATCCACCTTTAGATTTGTATTCTTATTTCTCTTGACTAATCTTGTGACCATTTGTTTCCTTTGCTTGTTCTTATTTCCCCTACTTAGCATATGGGGGTGTCTCAAATGTTATATTAGCTCTTAGACTATAATGAGTAGCACTCTAAGGAGTACAACCCCTTTAGGGTTGGTATTTGTATCCCATTGCTACTAGTGCACATCATTCCGCTGTTCATACTTTGAGAGAATACGCCCTTACCTACACTGACACATGATATACATCGACCTCATTTTACGAGAGTGCGAACATGACCGCAAAGCGAATCATCTTGAACAAGGTAACTACAACTGGTATACGCCCTTATATCCCTCCGATTATGTGCCGCTATGGGAGATCGGGCGGCATAGTGTTCAATGAATGCTCAGCACCATACAAAAGCGCATACCAAACTGCGAAACATACCAATTTGGACATCACGAGACCATTTTGTGGCGCCAAAAGTGCAAGGGCGCGAATGAGAGCAGCGGCCGAATTCGATTGAAGATTACTCGGCCTTCTTGTGGCGTCGGGAGCGAGTGGGAATGACGGAGAGCAGCACGTTGAGAAGAATGGGGACGATGGTGCCCATAAAGAAGAGCGACCGCCACACCGCTATGGTCTGCCCCCATTGCAGCACCTGGGGGGTGTGGAGGCAATGAAGGGGACACCGATATCTGAGTTCACGCAATTGGGAGTGGATGAATGGGGTGAGGGGGAGAATGCAACACTTGCAGCGCCTGGGGGGGGAGTCAATGCAACGACGGGGAATACACATGGATAGGAAAGGAGCGGATGGGGTGAGGAGGGATGGGAGAGGAGGGACGAGAACAGGAAGGCAGTGGAAGCAAGGTTTTACAGGAAGCGAGAAGGTGAAGCAATTTCATGAAGGTGAAAGTCCTACCAGGAGGCCAGGTGGCAGACATACAAGGACGCCAGCAATGGAGTAGTTCACGATGAGCTGCTTGAACATGGCCTGGGGAAGGCAGGCATGACGTACCTTACCTTTCCCTTTCCCTTTCACTTTCACTTGCCCTTCGTCCTTTGCTCACCAGGAAGCCCGCGTTGGAATAGTTTATGATGAGCTGCTTGAACACGGCCTGCACCACGTCAATGGTGACCTTCACTGCTGCTGACTGCTTCGGGAATGCTGCTGCCGTGTGCCGGAACACCTCTGTGGTGTTATGTGCCGCGCCATGCCATGCCATGCCACAACATGCCATTCCATGCCATTCCATGCCACAAGGAGACACACGAGGGGGCGTGCAAGGGACGTGCGTTAGGTTAAAAAAGATGGAGCGAGAAAAGAGCGAGTGAGGATTCCCATCCCAACAAGGTCATGATGCTGGATGCTACTAAGAGGAGACAAAGGGGGAAACCCTAGAGCCCTCTAAGCAGCGCAGAGAGTAGAAGGCAAGGCACGAGAATCTTCCAGTGGCAGAGACACAGGCAGCCAGGAGACGTACGCTTGGAGGTGTGTTGGCCGATGGCGGCATTGACAAAGAAGAGGTAGTAGCCGGGGTGAAGACCCTGGGAGGGGAGGGAGAGTGGATGGATGACGGATGGGGGATGGATGAGGTGTGGATGGGGGATGGATGGGGGATGGATGGGGGATGGATGGGGGTTGAGGTACTGACGAGCCGATGGCGGCATTGACAAAGAAGAGGTAGTAGCCGGGGTGAAGACCCTGGGAGGGGAGGGAGAGTGGCAGAAGAAGGGATGGATGAGGGTTGGATGGGGGATGAGGGTTGGATGGGGGATGCGGGACTGACGAGCCGATGGCGGCATTGACAAAGAAGAGGTGGTAGCCGGGGTGAAGGCCCTGCAAGGCGACGGAGGGGGGCGAAAGGTGTATGGGTACAAGGGGGTGGAGTGCGGTAGGACTACACCAGCCGATGGTAGTGCTGACAGTGACAAAGAGAAATGGGGTGCAGATTGTACAGAAGAGGAGGGAGTGGAATGCGGTGGGTCAGGAGAGCTTATGGCAGCGCTGACAGACTGTGGAAGAGAGAAAGAGATGGTAATCAAGGTGCTGATTGTGGGACGAGCTGTTCTAGAGTCGGCTCAAACAGGCGAGGATTCATGCAGCAGGCAGGTTGACAATGAAGGCTCTGTAAGTGGGGAGAAGAGCTTTAGAGTCGACTCAAAAGTCATCGTGAGACAACTCACATGCCAGAGCGCGGAGACGACTCACATGCCAGAGCGCGGAGACGACTTGAGTGAAGACGAGCGTCCACATGGTGGGCTTGCCCGAGCGAGGTGTCACCCGGTCGTACACGTCTGAAGGAGGGAGGAGGAGAGAAGGGGGAGGGAAGGGGAGCTTTGAGTAGAGGTTGATACGGGCCGACCACATGGTGGGCTTGCCCGAGCGAGGTGTCACCCGGTCGTACACGTCTGAAGGAGGGAGGTGGAGAGAAGGGGGAGGGAAGGGGAGCTTTGAGTAGAGGTTGATACGGGCCGACCACATGGTGGGCTTGCCCGAGCGAGGTGTCGCCCGGTCGTACACGTCTGAAGGAGGGAGGTGGAGAGAAGGGGGAGGGAAGGGGAGCTTTGAGTAGAGGTTGATACGGGCCGACCACATGGTGGGCTTGCCCGAGCGAGGTGTCACCCGGTCGTACACGTCTGAAGGAGGGAGGTGGAGAGAAGGGGGAGGGAAGGGGAGCTTTGAGTAGAGGTTGATACGGGCCGACCACATGGTGGGCTTGCCCGAGCGAGGTGTCACCCGGTCGTACACGTCTGAAGGAGGGAGGTGGAGAGAAGGGGGAGGGAAGGGGAGCTTTGAGTAGAGGTTGATACGGGCCGACCACATGGTGGGCTTGCCCGAGCGAGGTGTCACCCGGTCGTACACGTCTGAAGGAGGGAGGAGGAGAGAAGGGGGAGGGAAGGGGAGCTTTGAGTAGAGGTTGATACGGGCCGACCACATGGTGGGCTTGCCCGAGCGAGGTGTCACCCGGTCGTACACGTCTGAAGGAGGGAGGAGGAGAGAAGGGGGAGGGAAGGGGAGCTTTGAGTAGAGGTTGATACGGGCCGACCACATGGTGGGCTTGCCCGAGCGAGGTGTCACCCGGTCGTACACGTCTGAAGGAGGGAGGAGGAGAGAAGGGGGAGGGAAGGGGAGCTTTGAGTAGAGGTTGATACGGGCCGACCACATGGTGGGCTTGCCCGAGCGAGGTGTCACCCGGTCGTACACGTCTGAAGGAGGGAGGAGGAGAGAAGGGGGAGGGAAGGGGAGCTTTGAGTAGAGGTTGATACGGGCCGACCACATGGTGGGCTTGCCCGAGCGAGGTGTCACCCGGTCGTACACGTCTGAAGGAGGGAGGAGGAGAGAAGGGGGAGGGAAGGGGAGCTTTGAGTAGAGGTTGATACGGGCCGACCACATGGTGGGCTTGCCCGAGCGAGGTGTCACCCGGTCGTACACGTCTGAAGGAGGGAGGAGGAGAGAAGGGGGAGGGAAGGGGAGCTTTGAGTAGAGGTTGATACGGGCCGACCACATGGTGGGCTTGCCCGAGCGAGGTGTCACCCGGTCGTACACGTCTGAAGGAGGGAGGAGGAGAGAAGGGGGAGGGAAGGGGAGCTTTGAGTAGAGGTTGATACGGGCCGACCACATGGTGGGCTTGCCCGAGCGAGGTGTCACCCGGTCGTACACGTCTGAAGGAGGGAGGTGGAGAGAAGGGGGAGGGAAGGGGAGCTTTGAGTAGAGGTTGATACGGGCCGACCACATGGTGGGCTTGCCCGAGCGAGGTGTCACCCGGTCGTACACGTCTGAAGGAGGGAGGAGGAGAGAAGGGGGAGGGAAGGGGAGCTTTGAGTAGAGGTTGATACGGGCCGACCACATGGTGGGCTTGCCCGAGCGAGGTGTCACCCGGTCGTACACGTCTGAAGGAGGGATGTGGAGAGAAGGGGGAGGGAAGGGGAGCTTTGAGTAGAGGTTGATACGGGCCGACCACATGGTGGGCTTGCCCGAGCGAGGTGTCACCCGGTCGTACACGTCTGAAGGAGGGAGGAGGAGAGAAGGGGGAGGGAAGGGGAGCTTTGAGTAGAGGTTGATACGGGCCGACCACATGGTGGGCTTGCCCGAGCGAGGTGTCACCCGGTCGTACACGTCTGAAGGAGGGAGGAGGAGAGAAGGGGGAGGGAAGGGGAGCTTTGAGTAGAGGTTGATACGGGCCGACCACATGGTGGGCTTGCCCGAGCGAGGTGTCACCCGGTCGTACACGTCTGAAGGAGGGAGGAGGAGAGAAGGGGGAGGGAAGGGGAGCTTTGAGTAGAGGTTGATACGGGCCGACCACATGGTGGGCTTGCCCGAGCGAGGTGTCACCCGGTCGTACACGTCTGAAGGAGGGAGGAGGAGAGAAGGGGGAGGGAAGGGGAGCTTTGAGTAGAGGTTGATACGGGCCGACCACATGGTGGGCTTGCCCGAGCGAGGTGTCACCCGGTCGTACACGTCTGAAGGAGGGAGGAGGAGAGAAGGGGGAGGGAAGGGGAGCTTTGAGTAGAGGTTGATACGGGCCGACCACATGGTGGGCTTGCCCGAGCGAGGTGTCACCCGGTCGTACACGTCTGAAGGAGGGAGGTGGAGAGAAGGGGGAGGGAAGGGGAGCTTTGAGTAGAGGTTGATACGGGCCGACCACATGGTGGGCTTGCCCGAGCGAGGTGTCACCCGGTCGTACACGTCTGAAGGAGGGAGGAGGAGAGAAGGGGGAGGGAAGGGGAGCTTTGAGTAGAGGTTGATACGGGCCGACCACATGGTGGGCTTGCCCGAGCGAGGTGTCACCCGGTCGTACACGTCTGAAGGAGGGAGGTGGAGAGAAGGGGGAGGGAAGGGGAGCTTTGAGTAGAGGTTGATACGGGCCGACCACATGGTGGGCTTGCCCGAGCGAGGTGTCACCCGGTCGTACACGTCTGAAGGAGGGAGGTGGAGAGAAGGGGGAGGGAAGGGGAGCTTTGAGTAGAGGTTGATACGGGCCGACCACATGGTGGGCTTGCCCGAGCGAGGTGTCACCCGGTCGTACACGTCTGAAGGAGGGAGGAGGAGAGAAGGGGGAGGGAAGGGGAGCTTTGAGTAGAGGTTGATACGGGCCGACCACATGGTGGGCTTGCCCGAGCGAGGTGTCACCCGGTCGTACACGTCTGAAGGAGGGAGGAGGAGAGAAGGGGGAGGGAAGGGGAGCTTTGAGTAGAGGTTGATACGGGCCGACCACATGGTGGGCTTGCCCGAGCGAGGTGTCACCCGGTCGTACACGTCTGAAGGAGGGAAGAAAAGAGGGTGGGAAGGGGAGACCGGGGGAGGTGGGTGGGGAGGGGAGGTGGAGAGAAGGGGGAGGGAAGGGAAAGGACCTCCTTTCCTGCTTTCACCCTCGTGTTCTCACCTATCCATCACTGCGCGCTCCCATTCCCATGCACTCAACCCCAAAGTCCCACGGACATCCTACATCCGAAATCCTAAACCTAAGAGCACGTGATCTCTGAATGTTCGCAGCCACGTGCTGACGCCCATGTTCCAGTAGGCATGCAGCCCAAACGCGCAACTCTAAGCCCATGGAAGACTCCCCATTTCTCAACCCAGAGAACCCACGCACAGGTTCGCAGCCACATGCCGACGCCCATGTTCCAGTAGGCAGGCATCTGCGCCAGACTCGTGGTGATCTCACACTTGATGAAATTGGCGTTCTCTGCCCGGCTCCTGGAGGGAGGTGGAGTGGACGGAAGGGAGGGGTTGGGGAGGACGGTCAAGAGATGTGAGAGCTGTCAGGTGGATCGAGAGACACATCAACGTGGTAGGCTCGTGGTGATCTCACACTTGATGAAGTTGGCGTTCTCCGCCCGGCTCCTGGAGGGTGGGGGAGTGGACGGAGGGGAAGGTGGGGCGGCATGATGTTTGGGAGATGTGGAAGCGTTCAAGTGGATGGGAAAGGGCGAGGTGTGGGATGATGATAACCAACAATGAGAACGAACAGCCATATGAGATGCGCCCATCTTTTTCCATCAAAGAGCAAGCATCAGAAATTGGCCTACGTGACGAATCACTTCGCTAATTCACCAGAGAAAACGGCAAAGGTAATCACAGGAGCGAGGCCAAGGAGTCGGTCCGAGTGGGGTTTAAATATTCTCAAGCAGCACCCTCAACCACATGGGGTTTAAATATTCTCAAGCAGCACCCTCAACCACATGGGGTTTAAATATTCTCAAGCAGCACCCTCAACCACATGGGGTTTAAATATTCTCAAGCAGCACCCTCAACCACATGGGGTTTGAATATTCTCAAGCAGCACCCTCAACCACATGGGGTTTAAATATTCTCAAGCAGCACCCTCAACCACATGGGGTTTAAATATTCTCAAGCAGCACCCTCAACCACATGGGGTTTAAATATTCTCAAGCAGCACCCTCAACCACGTGGGGTTTAAATATTCTCAAGCAGCACCCTCAACCACATCCCAAACACTTTCCGAGTCGACTGGAGCGGAGTCGGTCCAGCCGGAGAAGCTGAATCCACAAAGAAGAACAGCACCCTCTACCACACTACAAGTGGATTTCATACTGAGATCTCGGAACTCACCAGTCTGGACGCGAGGAGTCGGTCCAGCCGGAGAAGCCAAATCCGGAGAGGATCACAGCGGCCTCTGCCACACTCCAGATGAAGTAGTAGGAGCAGCGGAAGCAGATACCCGCCACCACCAGGCAGAACCACCTGTGGGGCAGAGGGACCCGAACAAGGGGACGGGGTGATGGGAGAGAAGGGTGCGCAAGGGGGTGTGAAGAGATGAAGTAGTAGGAGCAGCGGAAGCAGATACCCGCTATCAACAGGCAGCCCCACCTGTGATGTGAGGGAAGTTAGACGGGGATTTTGTAGTCAACTCATAAGCCACGTGACCTGAGCATGGGAGGCAGATACTCGCCATTTCCGGGCGGGTAGCCCCACATGTGATGTGAGGGAATGGAGGCGAGGATTGTTTACCAAGGGGTGTGGGAGAAAGAAGGGGAGGTGGTGGGGGGAAAGCGCGGGGAAGTGGGGTGCAGTGGTGAGGGAGTATGAGAAGCGGAAGCAGGTGACCCCCTCACCACTGCAGGTGACCGCCTTCCTTAGGTGGCTCCACTCCACCCGCGGGTCGCAGGGAGGGACGGCAGGGAATTGGGAGCAGAATTGGTGGAGGGATGAAGAAGTGGCAGACGCTGCTCTGATCTGAGATGCACTGCCTCTACTCACTTGTATGCAAACCTGTAGGAGAGGAAGCGGGGCTGGAAGAGCAGGGCGGGGCCGAAGAGTCTTCTTGACGCATAATCCAAGGGCAGCAGTGCCTTCTTCTTGACTCCTAAACCCTTCTCAATTGGCAAACACTGCTCTGATCTGCGCGGCCCTGCACAGACTCACTTGTACGCGAACCCGTAGGTGAGGAAGCGGGGTTCGAAGAGCAGGGCGGGGCCGAAGTGCTGAGAGAGGAAGTGGTGCATCGCCAGGCAGATGATCGCCTTCCCCAGCGCCTGCGCCGCATACGGCAGCGGCTCCGGCATCTTACGCAGCTTCCCCTCGCCCTTGCTCTCGGCCTGCACCCTGTCCGCCTCGCCGTTTCCGTTCTGTGTCAGCTTCCCCTCCTCCCCCTTGCCGGTGTCGGCTGCCTTGCCTCGCACCACGGCTCCAGAGGGCGACCATAGCTGCAAAGGCACGGGTGAACACAAGAGTAAAGTACAGGGGCACAGGGGACAGGACATAGGAAGTCAGGAGTCGAAGGACGCACAGGAGACCGGGGACAGGGACACATGGAAATACCTCATTGATTCTCTCTCGGTGAAATTGAACCTTTTTAGGGGACTGGGAATGCACTCACCCCTTGCCCGGCGGCATACGCCTGGTACTGCTTGAGGTTGAACACTGGCCCCACCAGCACGGCGCGTATTGAGTCGCCTCACTTCCTTGCCTCCCCGTCACTTCCCCCCTCCCCCCCTCACTCCCCTTCGCCCCCTTGCCCAGCGGCGTAAGCCTGGTATTGCTTCAAGTTGAACACGGGTCCCACCAGCACGGCGCCTGGAGAGAACACAGAGCGTTCTTGCTGCTTTTCCCCGCCCCCTTCACTTACCCCTTCCTCCCCACTCACCCCTTGGCCGGCAGCATAAGCCTGGTACTGCTTGCAGTTGAACACGGGCCCCACCAGCACGGCGCCAGGGAAGAACACGAGCGACACAAACTCCACCACGGACGGCAGCCGCGCCAGCCTGTTGCTGTACATGCGGTGCTGCGCCTGGGGGGGGAGGCAGGGAACGGAGAGGCATGTGGGTGGCGTGTTGCATGTCCCGAAAGAGGCGCGCCAGCCTGTTGCTGTACATGCGGTGCTGTGCCTGGGGGAGCGAGAGCAGGAAGGGGGAGGAGGAAGAATGTGGGTGGACTGTTGCATGTCCCGAAAGAGGCGCGCCAGCCTTGCTGTACATGCGGTGCTGCGCCTGGGGACGGGGAGAGAAAGGGCGCGGACGGACGGTGGAAGTGGGGAACAAGGGGAAGAGTGGGGAAGGGGAGTCAATATGTGGGTGGAGTGTTGCGTGTCCCAAACAGCTGCAGTGCCTGTTGCTGTACATGCGGTGCTGCGCCAAGGGGGACGGCAATGGGCGGGAGGTCGGATGACGGTGGACGCATGGGGAGAATAGTTTATGTGGGAAGAGTGTTGCATGCCTCACAGCAGGCGCGGCAGCCTGCTGCTGTGCATGCCGTGTTGCGCCTGGGGGACGGGGATGGGCGCGAATGGACGGAGAAGAAGGCAGACGTTTTAATGGCAAAGATGACACCACGTTACAGTGTAACAACAGTCGCGACCCCCACCTTATCGCCCAACAGCACACCATCCTTGCAGTCTGCAAGTGTCAACACCATGAGCAATCTTGAGTGTGAAACCATGAGCGCATACAGTCTTGTTACCGGGTTACAATAGTTGCAGAATGTTTAAAACGTTTGCCTTGTTACCGAAGTACAACCATCGCACAAAGTTACAAAGTTACTAGACACAATCATTTAAGAGTGTGCTTTTTCATCCGGCAACTTGCCGACCCGGTTACCCTGTTACCATGAGTCCATGAGGCAGCCGGTAATTTTGAGCGTGAACACCACGAGGGCGTCCAGCATTGTTCATCTCGCTATCCTGTTACGATGTTACCACCGGGAAGCATACCTTGTCGTCCGGCAGTGCACCGTCCTGGTAGTCCATGGCGCAGGCGGCGATCTTGAGGGTGAACACCATGAGCGTGCCAAGACTTGTTACCGTGTTACCATGTTACCACGAAACCTTGTTACCATCGCAAGGCATACCTTGTCCTCTGGCAGTGCGCCGTCCTGGTAGTCCATGGCGCATCCGGAGATCTTGAGCGTGAACACCATGAGCGTGCCTGTGAAGTCCACGCCTCCCTGCCTCCACACGTCCGCTCCCAGGTTGCTCATGTGACTGAAAAAATCACGCGGAAAACATATGCGAACTCATAAACTCCTGAGAATGAGAATTGACTCTTAAAATATGACAGGAAATGAGACGGGATCATAAGCCAAGACGGAGAGATTGAGAAAGGTGTCGAGGCGTACCAGTAGGTGAGGTAGGTGAAGGAGCCGAAGAGCACGCCGTAGCCGCTCAACTTGCGAGGAAGGACGAGCATGAGCGCGTACGACGCGAGGGTAAGGCCCCAGAAGTTGAGGCTCGCTGCATTGGCGAAAGCACGCATGGAGTGGCGATTTCGATTCAGTGGAGCGAAAAGAATGAGATCAACGAGGCGGAATAACAGAATGCGGGTCGGCCTGGTGTAGAATAGAGCAGCGTTCGAAACCGACTAGCTGAATGCTTTCCAGTCGTTCGCGAGTAGAACCTTCGAACTAGGACAACAGCATGCTGCTAGCTACCACGGAAACCACACTTGCCGTGAAGGCCGCCATACGCCACCCAGCAGAGAACCCCTCCGGCTGCAATGCTGTAGAGATGCTTCAGCGTGGGACCCGGGAAGAAGCGCACGACCAGAGCCGCGGGAATGGACGAGAAGAGGCAGAGCAGGAGGGTGATCAAGGAGGGAGCCACTCCCAGCGACGCCGCTATCTCCTCTGAGATCGACATTCCTGCTTATTCAAGCTGGTTGATCAGTAGAGCTAATTACGAGTTAAGAGGAGCTCGGGGAAAAAACGGTGTATGTGTGGTTTTCGGTCGGTGGTAAGATAGCTTCGGGTTTTGGGATCTGACCAAGGCTCGAGCAGCCTCCGCGGATGTAGCCACCACGATGCAATTATGCAGTTTCCACCACCTCGTAACTGGAACGGACCCTAGACAAAAACGACCAATCCGTGCTGCCTAATCCGTGAGAGAAATAAATAAAGCTAAGAAAGTTCTTTATCACGGACAGTTTCCGTCGAGCGATATGGAAGCATGGACGAGGAAGAGAAGAGAGAAACACGGTGAGATCAGAATTCACGAACGGCAGATGGACGGACGTGATGAGGTGGGGGAATTCAGCAGGTTCTGGTCTGGACTGGCACGTGGTCATGACTCATGACATGTGACGTGATCCTCGAGAGTAGATTGGATTGTTGGATTGGGTTCCCGCGCTTTCCACAGAAGCACACCTTGAAATTGGCGGGGCGTGTCAGAGTGTCAGAGTTCCGCACGCTAGGTATTTCCACTTCAAAAACGATTCATGAAAAGGTCAGCTACAGTAATCAGAAATAAACAATAATCTGTCTTATTTTCTTTAAATTAGATGCCTCTCGTAAAACTCTGAGACGCATAGTACTTCAGATTTTGGCTGGACGGTACGGATCATCAGCAAAATAAAAATCCGATAAGGGTGCACAAATTTGAGCGGAAAGATGGCAAAAGGAAATGCCAAGTCTCGTATGATATGATATGATTTTCAAGATTGTCTTCATGCATAAGTCTCTTGTTATTCTTCCTTGGAGATGGCAAATATCTCATTCCGAATCTGCGTGAATCGAGTACAGTCATGCTAGCCCCCGAACCCAACCATGTTCAGCTGGTCAGTCTGTCGCTGCTGAACAGACCCTTCAAGGAATAATGGCGGCACCTGACGCGGTGCTGTCGCCTTTGGCCGTTGCTCAAATCGCTGTGTCCAGAAGAGAACCGCCGGAAAGGTACGTTGTTTATAGTATCTTGTCCGTGTTGCCGCTCCGTCACTTCCATACTGCTGTTAGTAAACCCCGAATCTTAATCCTGTTACACCCTAACCCCTGTCCTTCTTAAACCGCCTCGCAGAGTGCTCTCGTGCGCTGTCAGTCTCCTTCAATATTTCGCGGACGAGGATAGGAAACGCCACGTGGCACGGTCCGGCCAGCAGCCGCAGCAGGTCACACAGGGCGAAAATGGAAAACACCCACCTCCTGGTGTCACAACCACTGAGGAACCCACTGATGCGGAAGCAACAGCAGGTAAGCGAAAAAAGAGGAGCAAGAAGATTGCTGGTAACACGGTTACCACCGACGGGGATAACACTCCCGCGGAAGGATTGGCGGGGGAGCAAGCCTTCCGCCTCCACTCGGATTCCACTGACATGTGGGGGGAATGGGGCTCCCAGGCGCGCCTACACGCACTGCGCGCCGTTTTCGAGTTCGCGCAGCTGTCCCTCCTCCGATCCATCCGCCCCGGACCTGCTGGCGCTGGCTCGGGCTCCAAACGAGCCAGGCCTGGCTCGGGAGTGCCAAGCTCGGCAGAGAAGCCTGACGGGGAGAAGGCGGGGAAGAGGCGGAAGAATCAGGGAAGAGAAAAAGCGGAGGGGGAAGGGATAGAGGGAGGGGGAGGGGAAGGCGACGGGGAAGGAAAAGGGGAAGCGGGAAAGGGGAAGGAAGAAGATTCGCTTCCTGCCTACCTGGATACACGTTATTGGTTCGTTCTGTCCGCGTCGCTTTCCCTGCTGCAGCACCACCCTGGTTGGCTGGTCGTCTCGTCGAACCTCTTCCAGCCAATCACAGCGCTGCTCTCTGCACTAGCCCAAGACAACCAAGAAAATGCCCTTCACAGAATTCTTACTGGATCAGTACCAGCAGCATCAACACCGGCAGCAGCAGCAGCAGCAGCAGCAGCAGCGGCAGCAGTGGAGGTGCCACCTATAGAACGGAGCCTACACGCCCTGCTCACTGTTCTCTTGATGCCGAGCCTGGCACGCAGGCTCGGCGCCTCGGATATGAAAGCCCTGGGAGCGCCAGGCATGGGGTTCAAAGCGTCAAGCCCAGTGGCGTTCCATCCGAGCCTGGAGCACTGGGTCGGTCTGGTCCGAGCCTCCCTGCAGCTCCTTCAGAGCCCGCTGAGTCTCGGAAAGAATAGCGAGTCAGCGGGAAAAGGACCATCAGGATCAACATCAGCCGCAGCAGCAGCAGGAGCAGCAGCAGCAGCAGCGGATGTGTGGGGAAGGGTGTGCGGCGTGTGTCTGCATGGGTTCGGTGTGTTCGCATCGACCCACCCACAGGGCAAGAAAGTGTTTCTCGCTGTGCTCTCGCGCCTGCTGCCACTCCTGCTGCACCTCAGGACGCACCTCGTTGAAGGGCAGGGCCGACTGGGGAAGGGAGGTGGAGAGCTCGGGGAGGAAACGGTGGGTTTTGTCTTATCTGCAATGGATGTGATTGTGAAGGAGGCGTTGTTTGGACGCGTGCATGCAGAGGGGTATGTGACCCAGTGCGCTGGTGTGGCCGCTGCTTTGGCTGCTGGTGTGGGTGGTGGTAAGGTTGGGGGAATGGGTGGGCAGAGAACAGGCAACAGAGGAACACCTGTGAAATCACCTGGGGAGTCAAGACATGGAAGCAAGGCAGGGATAGTTGGAGGGGCGACGGAGGGTGAGGGTGAGGGTGAGGGAGATGGAGGTATGGAAGGGTTGGGGGAAGAGGGCAGGTTCGGCAGCTACCACCGGCAGTTCCTGGCGTTTCTCGAGGCTGGGATCAGGTCCGGGAACGTGCCGATCCTGCACAGCCTCGGGTGGATGTTTGGCATTTACTCTCAGAGTGTGGTGGAGATTGCACGAGAGAGAGTGGGCGAGGTGGGAGGGAGGGGGAAGAGGAGAAAAGCAGCAGGGCAGGGGGGAAAAGGAGGGGTGAGTGGGGAGGGGGAAGGAGGGGAGGGAGCAGGAGAGGAGAAGGCAGGGGAAGGGGGTGTGGGGGGAGGCAGAGGAGGAGGAGGAGGAGGAGGAGGAGGAGGAGGAGGAGGAGGAGGAGGGCAGGGAGGAGGTATGGGAGGAGTATTGGGGGCAGATGATCCGGAAGTGTCTCAGCTGTTGCAGTCGCGGTTCAATCTGTTTGCGCACCTGCTAGGACCGCTGACAGGTGAGCTGCGAGGCAAAGTGGTGGTTCTCCCACATGGGGGCGCGCAGCATCAACAGCAGCAGGGCAAAGCAGGCAGATATGTGAAGCAGTCAACAGGCAGCGGTGCTGCAGAGCCTGCCAGCCTGGCAGCCCTGCTACGTGGCACAAGGGCACTGGTGGACACAGCAATAGAGGAGGGCATTTATGACGGGCTGTCAGACGTGAGTGACAGCAGCACCACCATCAGCAGCCGTGGTGGACGAAGCAGGGGAAGGACGGGAGGAGCAGAAGCAGGAGGAGGAGGGCCGACGAGACTGGGTCTGCTGTTGCACCTGGCTGGGCTGGCCGGGGAGGTTGGCAGTGCGTGGCGCATGTGGGAGGCCGTACGGAACCCTGAAATAGGTGCTAGTGCTTCTGCTGCTGCCGGTGCTAGCGGTGATGGTGATGTGAGGCAGGAGGGGGGCGGAGCAGGAGCTCAGGTTTGGGCCGAGCTTCTCCAGCTGCTTTGGGGGCTGGTTCGGCTGGAGCCCAGGGTGGTGGTGCTCGTGGACGGCCTGCATGACGCCACGTGGCAGCTTGTGATTGGGGCATGCACTGCGTGTGAGCAGGCGCGGCTAGAAAAAAATGATACGGGAGGTGGTAACCAGCTGATGTCTCAGCAGTGGGCGGCAGGGTGGGCGGCAGGGTGGGCGGCAGAGTGGGCGGCAGTGTGGGCGGCGGCTGTCAAGATTGCCAGCCAGCTGGTGGTGACGTGGAAAGATATGAGACAGGTGCGTGGGTGTGTGTGTGCGTGTGTGCGTGTGTGTGTGTGTGTGTGTGTGTGTGTGTGTGTGTGTGTGTGTGTGTGTGCATGTGCATCCATGCGTTCGTGTGTGTGAGCACATGCATGCTTGCATTCATGCATGTCTGTGTGACATGTTATCCCTACATACCTCGTACAAGTATTTTTATTGGTTCCGTCCCTCTCGATGTCCCTGTCCCTCCTCTTCCCTCCCTCCCATCACAGCTAGTGGTAGTTATTCGAGCCATCCTCACTTCTACGCTCACTTCCAGACAAGATATGGACGCTGTTCCTTCTGCCCCGCCGCCCCGTGTAGCATCAGAATCAGCTTCTGTATCAGCAGCAGCAGCAGCATCGCCAGCAGCAGTGGCAGCAGCTGTGGCGCTCCTCTCTTCGCCGGACCTACTCTCCGTGGTCCGGGAGGCTGCTTCTTCGGTCCCTCCAGGCCAGGTGCCGAGCCTGCTGCTCAGCTTCGGGGAGCAGCAGGTCAGGCTGGTGGTTGGTTGGGAGGGGGATGCAGAGGGAGGGAGAAATGAGGAGGAGTGGAGCGGAGGGGGGCAGGGGGAGAGTCTGAAGGGGAGGAAGGGAATGGAGGGGAAGGCTGGTCAGGTGGTTTCTCAGGTGGAAACTCAGATGCAGGCAGCACAGGATAGGCTCACCTGGGCGGCTGCCAGCTTCGTTGCTACAGTGCTCCGCAGCCTGCCTGTTGCGCTGGGAACCGCCATCCAGGTGGACGGCAACGTCTGTCTTCTAGTGCAGTCCCTTGGGCGGTCTGCGGTCGGCAAGTGGGTGGCTGCTGTGGTGGCAAGCACGGGAGAGAGGGGGAAGGGTGGAGAGGGAATGGGAGGGGAAGAGGGAATTGGAAAGAAGGGGGGAGATGCGAAGGTGAGAAGAGGAATCAGCAGCAAGCTGAGCGATGGGAAGGACCATTCTTCTGATCTTGCTCTTACTCTTGTTCGCCGCACGGCGGCGAGCGTTGGGGCAGGCCTTGAAATGTTTCTGGCTGCCCATGAGCTGCACCTGAGATGTCTGTACAATGCACCTCCCTCAGAAGAGTCCAAAATGGGCCACCGCTTCAGCCTCTCCTTCCACCTCCCCCTCGACCCTGCTGTCAGTGGCCCAGGCTCGGCAGGAACTGGCTCGGAAACATTAGGTTCGGCAGGGACAGGTCCGGGAGGGGAGAGTGCTGGAGGGGCTGCTTCGGAGCAGCCTGCTTCCAGATGGCGGTTTGTGATTGGCTGGCTGAACCGAGTGATGAATGGACAGGCAGAGGAGAAACAAGAGCAGCAGCAGCAGGAGGAGGAGGATGAGCAAGGGGCGGAAAGCAGTCAGCTGCTTCGGCTGCGCTTCCTGACTCTCTCTGCTGCCACCACTGCCCTCTCCTCCCTCTCCCCGGTGCTGCCTCTGGGTGCAAGCTATGCGGGTGGTAAGAGGGGTGAACTGGGGGGGGAGACGGAGGCAGCAGCTGAGGCAGGGAAGGGGAGGAAGAAGGGGAAGAGGGGAGGGGCAGAGGGAGTGCGGGGTATGGGGGAGGGTGGAGCGGTGGAGAGTGGTGTTGGTGCGCTGGCTGCTGCTGTGGCCCATGAGCTGTCGTTCGGGTGTGTTGGGGCGGGAGAGGGGCGGAGCCGGTGGGTGGTGATGGGGAGAGAAACAGGCGGGGAAGGGGAAGCAGGTGCGGGAAGAAAGGGAGAACACAGGAGCAGGGAGAGGAGGCAGTGGGACGGCAGCGTGGCCAGCATCTCTAACAATGGGTGTCTCAACGCGGCTTTCCTCTCCCTTGCTGCGTCCTCCGCCCTCCCCCTCTGGCTCCCCGCTGCCCCTCGCCCTGCCGTGAGGGAGTTTGTGCTGCTGCTGCTCGCCCTGGCCGCTAGGGAGGTGCTTGGGAGTGGTGGTGGCACGGGAGGTGCTACAGAGGTGGCTGGGGGCGCCGGAGGGAGGGCTGTGGCGGCTCTGGCGGTGCTACGGAATCCTGTCTTCTACGAGATTGAGGTGAGTTGCGTCTGTTTGGCTGGTTGGGTCCCGTCCGGCTCTCTTGCTGCCTCCTCCGCTCTCCCCTCTGGTGGTGCTGGAGGGAGGGCTCTGGCTGCTGTGGCGGCGCTACGGAATGCCGTGTTCTGCGAGATTGAGGTGAGTGGGGTCTGGTTGGGATACGTGCTTTTGTTGACTGCAGTGATTGGACGTGCTTCCGTCATTCTCACACATCCCCTCACCTCACCCCAATCACTGCTCCTTCCTCCTTCCCCCCGGCCCACCCAAACCGCTCTCCCTGCTCCCTGCTTGTCATCATTGTTACGAAAACTTAATATTAATGAGTCCTGCGCATTCCTCTCCCCCAACTTATGTCATCCTTTTTATATTTCACATCAATCCTTTTCTTTCCCCCACACCCACGTGCTTGCAGAATGTTCGTCACGTTTTGGCCAAGTCATTTGTGACTAATCTGCGGGCAGCTGTGAAGGGAAGCTTGAAACTCTCCACCACCTGCCCGCCTTCTGCCCTAGCAGAAAAATGCAAGGCTGGCTTGGTTTCCCTGCTGTCTGACCGAACAATTCCAGCCAATGAGCATGCAGGAAAAGAAGGACAAATTACTTCAGAGGGCAGTTCAAAAAAAAGAAAAGGAAATAAGAAGAAAGGGACGGAAGGAGATGATTTTACTGGGGTGGGTGGTAGAGGTGATAGTAACGTGAGTGATACTAACGAGATGAGGTTTTCAGACAGTATGCTCGCCATGCTGGCTGATCAGGCAGGTGCTGAGCTGGCAGATTCAATCCGCCATCTCGTTCGAAACCCTGATGCTGACTCAGCAGGTACAGATGCTGACTCATCAGAAGAGGAGGAGGAGGAGGACGGGGAGGAGGGTGGGACAGAAGTGAGAGAGCAGAAGGGGAAGGGTAAGGGGGATGGTGAGGGGGAGTGGCAGGTGGATGCGGGGGAGGTGGAACTGGTGCTGGTGCTGCTACAGCTGCTACAGGCCGTCCCCCCTGACTGCTGGACAGCTGCAGATGCGCTGCGATTGGTCGAATGCCTTGCTGGCTTGGAACGGTGCTTCATGGCGCCTCTGCTGCTCCCTCCTCCCTCTCGTTACAGTCACATTCACACTTTATCGAACCACCAACAGCAGCAGCAGCAGCAGCACTCGTTTTCCTCTTCCTCCTCTCTTCTCATGAACTGCTCCCTTGCCTGCAGAATAGCCCTCCTTCGTTTTCTCTCCCTCCACCAATCCCTCTCCCAACCCACTTGTTCCGAACCAAGTTGTCCCGAGCCAGGGTCTGGTCCAGTGCCGAAGCTGCTGCCGTGGCTGGTGGTAGGCTCGGTGGGAGCAGGTGTTGTGAACCGAAGGAAGCAGCAGGAGGGACGAAAAAGGGAGGACATGGCAAGGTATGGGGGGGCATTGGGGGATGGGGACGTATTGGGGGTTGAGGAAGCATGGGAGGCGATGGTGGCAGCGAGTGGAGCAGCAGTGGGCATGGCTGTGCATGCAGTCATGATGGATGGTGGTACGGAGGGGAGCAAGGAGAGCGGCGAGGGGAAGGATATCGGCACTGCCATTGCCTGTCTCTCTCGCTCCCATCCCGAAACCGCCACTGCTCTCATTTCCTTTGTTGAAATCCTCGCCTCCCTCCCCCACTGCAAGACCACTCTCACCTCCGATGCTGCATCAGCTGTTCCAGCTGTAGCAGCAGCAGCATCTATAGCACTGGCTCCAGCTGCGACATCTGCAGCGGCTGTAGCGGCGGCTGTGTGCTCGGGAGCCCTGTGGGAGATGGCAGCTGTAGCGGATGGATTGAGCCACGCTGGCGATGGGTCAGCAGGACCGGCTGTAGCGCGTGCTACACTGGATATGGATACTGCTGTTGGTGAGGTGGGGAGTGGCAAGGAGGAGGGGAGTGAAGGGCCATTGCTGTCACGATGGGGCGGTCGCATTCCTGCCACGTGGAGTGCTCTGATTGGCTGCCTCGAGCCTGCTGTTGAAGGGGCGTTGAGGGGGATGCTGGGGGAGAGTGAGAAGGGGAGAGAGGAGGGAAGAGAGGAGGGGAGAGGGAAAGGAGAGGAACAGGAGGTGGGAGGAGAAGAGGTGGACGGTGGTTTGGATTGGTTGTCACTGCATGAACTAGGGTTCGATGTGGCAAGGGATGGTGGTTTGGTTGATGTGCATGGTGGTGCTGTTGCTGGTGATGGCGATGGGATTGGTGATGTGGAGGGGAAAGGTGGGGATGGGGTGGAGGAAGATGAGGAGGTGATAGAGAAAGAGGAGAGTGAGGAAGAGGACGATGATGGTGAGGAGAGTGAGAGTGAGGAAGAGGAGAGTGAGGAGGGTGAGAAGGAGAGTGAGGAGGGTGAGAAGGAGAGTGAGGAGGAGAGTGAGGAGAGTGAGGAGAGTGAGGAGGAGAGTGAGGAAAGTGAGGAGGGTGTAGAGGAGAGTGAGAAGGAGAGTGAGGAGGAGAGAGGGGATGAAATGGAAGTGGATGGAGACACGAATGCCAGCTATCGGGGGAAGAAGCCACGCCCCCCTCCACCTTCCAAGATAGAGAGAGGAGCAGGAGGAAGAGCAGGAGGAAGAGTGGGACGAGGAGGAGAAGGAGCAGAGTGGGAGGAGAGCTGGTTACGAAGTTACGACTTCCCGGACTCACAGAAACACGCCCTCAGCCGCCTCCTTACAAGCACATCCGATTGCGTCACGGCAGCCCACCTGTTCTCTGCTGCCGCTGCTGCCCTGCACCTCAGATGCGCGCTGGTTATGGCTGAGGGGGATAAAGAACAGATGAGAGAAGGTGGGACGGAGAAGGGGGCGCAGACGGTTCAGGTGGGAGGGAGAGGGCGAGGGAGAAGGAAAGAGAGACGGGGAAAGCGGGGTGGACAGGAAGAGGGAGATGAGGAGGGAGAGGAGGATAAAGAGGAAGAGCAAGAGGAGGAGCAGCGGAGGGTGGTAACGGAGCAGTTAAACGCACAGAGGTACAGTCTCTCCCATGCCTTCGTGGGGAGGGTGGTCCAGCCCAGGCTAGCATCCGCCCTCTTCATCCTCCACCACGCCGCCCTGCTGCTGCGAGCGGGCGCACATGTTGCACCTCCAACGCCCTCTTCTGAATTTGCCGCAGCTGCCCCATCAGTCACAGGAGTGGCAGCAGCAGGATCAGGAGCAGCAGTTGCTGGGTCTGTGTCTGTCCCGTCTGTGCTGCTGTCTGCCGCGCCTCTCCTCTTGGCTGTGCTGCAGTACACGCAGGTGGCAGGCACGCGCATGCTGCGCTGCGTCTCCCCCCACCCTCCTGCCTCCGCGTTCCGGCGAATCGTGCGCGTCCACCTGGCGCTCCTCTCCGCCCTCTCGTTACAGTCCCAGTCGTTGTTATCACTCTCAGCAGGATCAGCAGGAGCAGCAGCAGGAGCAGCAGCAGGATCAGCAGCAGGAGCAGCAGCAGGATCAGCAGCAGAAGTAGAAGCAGCAAGGCAAGTGGTAGCGTCGCTGCTGCAAGCCACATATGCAGCATTGAAGCAGTTTGTGCAGTGGGCGTCGCACGGGTGGGTAGCAGTTGTCTTTCGCACCTGCAGGAATGAGCTCGCGTTGCAGCTGGAGGGGGGCAGTGGAGGCGGGTGGGGAGGGCTGGGTGAAGGGGAAAGGGGAGGCGAGAGGGGAGAGGAGAGAAGAGAAGCAAGGCTGCATGCTATGGGTGGGGGCAGCAGGCAAAGCGCGCATATCAAGGGGAGTGAACATGAGGCTCCAGCAGAAAAGGGCGTTCCAGCAGAAGGGGAGTTTGGCAGCTCAGCAGGACTGGAGAACGGTCCAATAGGGTTGGATGCGGTGGCAGTGTTGGCGGAGAAGCTCATTCACAGCTGCCCCAGCGGCCACTCCCTTCACTTCCTCGCTGCCCGCTCGCCCCTCCTCGCCTCCCTGCTCTTTAAAGCCATCACCTCATATACATACTCCCACTCTCACTCTCTCCCTTCCTCTCTCCCTCACTTCTCCCCTCACACTCCCATGCACATGCTCCCCCACACGCCCTCTCTTTTCTCTTCTCTCTTCAGTCTCTACCCATCCTCCGTCTCCTCTGCCTTTCACGTCCCATCCATACCCGCACTCACTCCCTCACTCTTTCCTTGGCTCTCTCCCTCACATGTTCCCTCGATTTCTCCCGCCAGTTTTTTCACCATCTGCCATCACAGCCTGTCAGCTCTCACGACTCTCGCTGCTCGAAGCGCAATTTTCCCTTTCCGGGCAGGCCACGTCAGCCTGGGCCTCGCCTGCCCGAACCTCATTCTGCCCGCCATCTCAGCTTCTCCTGATTCGTCTGTTGGCATGGGCCTGGGTGAACGGGCGGGGTTGTTTGTTGGTTTCTGCCAGCTTCTTTGTGCAATCATTCGTCAAAGGAGCCGGTATGTGTTGTTCTGCTGCTGCTCGTACCAGCACGTGTTTGTTGCACCTTGGTGTTTTGCATGCAGCAACCTAGTGACTTTTGAGTCGAGGTGACTTTTGAGTCGACTCAAAAGGCACCTCATACCAGCACGTGTTGCATCTCGGTGTTTTGCATGCAGCAGCCGCCCTCCCTTCCTTCTATCTCTTGTGAGCTTCATCTCAGCACTTGTCATTCTCATCCGCACTTGTTGCTGGAAACAGTGTATGATACTCACGTCCACACTGTTATTTTAATGACTTGGTAATGCACTTTCAAATTTGCCTGTGCCCTCACTCGGGGATATTCCCATCCTCATCGCAAAATCTTCTTCCCTCCCTTGCTTCCCACCCCATTCGTCCATACCATGACATGCCATGGCAACAGCTATGTGCGATACAGCATGGCACTCCTCGTACAGTCTCTCCGCTGTATGATCAACCTCCTCTCGCCCTCCTCCCCCTTCTTCTCCTCATCCTCCACCGTCGCCTCCTCCTCGCATCCACTCCCCTCCTCCTCTCTCTCCTCCTCTCTCTCCTCCTCTCTCTCCTCCTCTCTCTCCTCTCCGCCTCTCCCGCGTGACTATAACGAAGCCACTGCTGCCAGCTGTGCCCTGTGGCTGAGACGAGTTTATGATGAGGTCAGTGCAGTTCTATGTGGTGCCATGTGGTGCTGAGCGGCTCTGCATGGTAACTGGCAACCACAACACCCCATCTCCCACTCTGCCCCTGTTGATGCTTCCTCCTTCCTTGTTTCCTCCTCTCTCAATCAAAATCGAACTCCTTCGCCCCCATTCGACTCTGCCCCATACATTACCCCTTGTCCTCCACCCATCCCGTTCTCATTTTAATCTAAGTAACTTGTCATCGCTTGACTGATACCATTCCACTTCTCTCCTCCGCTTGGCAGGTGTCAGAGCAGCGCGCTACTCTCAGCAAGATCTGTCCGCTGCTATTAGCAGACTACATCATTGCCATCACCACCACCGCCACCATCCGACTAGTTTCATGACACTCCCATCCTCGGTTTTTCTTCTCTCTCTCCCATCCCCCTCTTATCCACATGGCAGGTGTCAGAGCAGCGCTCCACTCTCAGCAAGATCTGTCCGCTGCTATTAGCAGACTACATCATCGCCATCACCACCACCGCCACTGTCACCACCGCTACACCCACCACTCCCGCAGCAGCACTGCTTCAGCAGCTTCAGTCGCCTTTCACCACTGCTAGCTTCGATCCCAGCAGCCCTAGTGCTGGTGTTGGTCAGCGGAGCAGCCAACAGCAGCAGCAGCAGCAGGTTATTGGGTTGCCCAGGTGCGTCTACAAGAGAATTCTGAGCGTGTCTTGTTTCCCTGCTGTTGCCACTCCTGGGTTATGTGTCCCCTCATGGGTCAACATGCGCCACTCATGGGTCAACAACACAGGAGCATGTCACCACATCACCACATCACTGCATCAGTGTGTCAGCGCGACAGACAGCACATCACTGCATAAGCACAGCACCACGTAGGACATCAGCACAAAAGCATATCACCACATCACCATGTCACCATGTCACCCCATCCAAGCAACCACCTCATGCCACCACACCACCACAAGCAACCATCTCCCATCCACCCCACTCCACCCCATTCAACCCCTCAGCACTGTGGAGGCAGCGTTGGAACCAGGAGCATTCGCGCTCATGGATGTGTGCGCCCCGCACGACCTGCAGTTCCTGCACATGGCGCTCGGATCTGGTCAGAACCCTCTCGCCTTTCCTCCACACCTCCGCTCTTCTCTTCCTCTCCATCCTTCCGTTGCCCGCGCCTCTCCTATGCCTCCCATAGAGTTTTCCTCCCATGAGCTGCTGCTCCTTCACATGGCTTTCGAATCAGGTCTGTGCCTCCCTGTTCTCTAGGTCATCCCCTCCCCGCTATCCTCCCCTCCCTTATTCCTCTGCAGGTCACTCCCAAAGGGCTGCTCTGGCCCGTTTGAAGCAGAGTTACGACGAATCTTACAAGTACGAGGGCAAGGTGTAGTCATTGTCACTGATATTGCGTGGTTTAGTGAATCAGGCAAACTGATAATTATTCTTTGTTTGTAACATACTGTACGCATTAAAACGTCTGCGAAGCCTTGCTTTTGTACACGCGCCAACTCAAGCGGAGCCAACTCGTTTTATAACAAAACCCAAGTTGCAGATACCCTACCATATGTAGGCGCAGGGACTCATACTCAAGTTACACCCAGCTGCGAGTGTAGACATGCCTCACAGGGACCGCATGTGATACGTGGTAACCCTGCACACGTGGAACAGCAACGGAAGGGGCGTGACAGCGGAATAGTCATATTGGCATAGAAAGGGTGTGACAGCCATGTGAGTTGTGACAGTAAGCCAGCTTTGAGACTGGCCTGTCATCTGGCCATACAAGAATCACTCATCTCATCTCATCTCATCTCACCTCATCTCACTCTCTTCCACTCACCTCATCTCGCACAGCTGCCAGGCTCCCTAACTGCTGCTCCACAGCCTTGAGCTTCCCTGCTGTCGCCACCTGCACCGCCCGAGCCTCTGCCAGCTCCTGCTGCAGCCGTGCCACACCCTCACTGTCCCACGACCGCACCACCAGCACCACCCCTCCCTCCGCCACCGCCTCTGTACCCACCCCCACATCCACCCCAGTATACATCCTATTATCCACACCGGTACCCACCCCATTACCCTCCTCTCTCCGCCGATCATGCTGTGCCCTCGCGCCCGTGCCCTGTAGCATGCTGCTGCTGTCTCCAGGCTCTTGCTTCACAGGGCTTGAAGAGTGAGGCTTGGACCCAGCAGGGAGTTGGGAGGCGGGGGGTGGCATTGGAGGTTCTTGAGTCGACTCAGAAACAGGCTCTTGCTTTGCAAGACTTGGAGGCTTGGGTGGTTGTTGAGGTACCATTGCAGGCTTGGGAGGGGCTTGGGAGGTCGGAGATGGCATGGGCGGGCGGGGGATGGGTTTCCAGGGGAAGGAGGCAGAGGGTAGGCGGGGGAGAGAGAATTGATTCGCACGGGCCTTGAGTAGTCTCTGGATTTGGAAGGGCAGTGGGGTTGGAATGGGGGAGAGGAAGGGCGGTGGGCATCAGGGGTAGATGAATCACTGAGAGAGACGTGTGATAGCAGGCAGCATGGAGGAAATCAGCAGCACGCTAGGGAAAGGAGTGGCAACGGCAAGGAATGCGACAGCAACGGATGCAATGGCAGGCAAGCCACAGCGGCAGCAATGTTGTCATGCACTACTAGGTGACTGGGGAAAGATGAAAGACGACCCTAACTAGTAAGACCAGCTGAGCACACGTGGCTCCAGTTCAGCTATCATCGCCTGAGAGCTGCTTTAGGAGAGAGTAAACTCTTGAACCCACCACCATCAGGCCACACATGCTTACGTATCCATTACCAGCGTTGCTCTCAGCCTCTCACCTCCAGTGGCCTCTCACCTCCAGCACAGCTATCCTCGCATGAGCTGCTGCCAACTGCAACTCCAACGGCATCCCACTGTTGTTGTAATTGCTGCTGCTGGTAAGACCATCATCAACAGTACTCCAGTGCTCTCCACTGCCTGGCACCGCATCCTCTCTCCCACTCTCCACGTCACCACTGACGCCACTGCTTCTGCCGCTACCAGTGTCGTTTCCACCAGCATTCCCACCGCTGCTGCTCTTGCTGCCGCTGCTGCTTTGCTCAACAGAACCCCCGCTCTTGCTCTCACCACTGCTGCTGCCTCTCCCTTCCGCACCATCACCGCCAACCCCTCCCATTCCTCCTCTCGTCCCCGCTTCCGCTGCTGCCTTCACTGCTGCGGTTGGGACAGGAATTCTGGACTTCACCACTTGCGGGCGCGCTTCTTTATCCTTGGCTATCAACCGAGCCTGCAGCTCCGTGTTCCGCGCTTTCAGGAACGCAGTTTCCACATTCGCTTTCTCCAGCTGTTCTTCCAGCGCGCGAATCCGAGCCTCCCACGTGTCGCTGTCAGCACTATTGCTGCTCTCACTGACCCCGTTGTTCCCGGTGCCGTTGACTTTGTCGCCAGTGTTAGTACTTTCACTTGCGCTAGCGGCAGTAGAAGCCGCAGGGTCCGCAACAGCACTGTTGCTGTAAGCTGGAGGCCTGGTTGCTGACGTGGCAGCGGCAGAGCCCTCTTCCTTCACACCGGGCCTAGGAACGAACTTTGAGTCGCCCCGGTGCACGGCGTTTTTCCCGCCCTTGGTTACCCAATCCACAGCTATCGATGTGTTCGGCCGAATCGGCGCCTTTGGCGCTAATGGCACCCGATCGTTCGTTGCGTTGAAGCGATTTCTCATTTCTCTGACCGATAACCGTTTAGATCCGTCATCGTTAACGTCACCGTCGACGTCTCCAGCAGAGCCTTGCAATCTGACCGTCACTGCTTCTGCTGCTGACTGCGATTCCACAGTTACCGCTTTGCCGGGAATATCAGCCGGAGTCTGCGACTGCGACGAAGATAATATTGCTTCTGGAACGGGTTTTAAAACAGCCGCTGGTACCGAAGAGTCCACTGGCGGCGATTCTGCTTTCGCCGCCGGAGTTGACTTATCCGTCACTCCCTTCATTTTCGAGAGATAGAAATTGACTGAGCTCATTGTCGCCGTTTGGTAGACGCAGGAGCTATTGGCGACGGCGAGAGACTCTATGTTCAAACACGGCATTCAACCGTGGCAAAATACTCTCTAGCGGCCGTTATTGGGAGCCAGCTTTACAGTCGCCACAATTCCGCGAACACCGAATGGAGCATCATACCATCCTAGACCAACGTCTATAAATTTGAGTCCAAAATGCTTAGACACATGTTAGAATGCACGGGAGGCAAGCACACTGGGAATGACGACGAGACTGGGAACGAACATCCAGACGAACGGGACTTGGTTCAGGAGAATTTGGCAGTCCTTGGGATTGCCTGACTGACGTGCGCCTGGTGCATTGGGAAGGAAATTCGACAGCTGTGGTGATCAAGTGTGGGGAAATCAGGGGTGGGGATTCTGTCCGCGCTACGAACCAAATGCAATAAAGTTCGCAGAGTTGGACAAAAACAATGGGTGTACCCTTACATAAACACTACAGAAAAACCTCCTTTAGAAAGCTTTCAGTAAATCATAGCCTATGCCCCATAACCAAAAACTGCACGAATCCTAGCAAAAATGAGATCTCTCCAGCCCCGTTCGGTTGTTTCAAAGACCGTGGCATTCCCAAACCTGCAAGGTAGGCAACATTAATCGTTAGCTAACACCACATAACGATGACCAGTGATTGAAAAACACATAAATTACTCCAAGGGCAAATCGTCAGTGTACTTCTTTCGTGCAATAATGCATATTTCAGGTTAAAAAATGTTGGACGCTGTGTCACTCACCTGTCCTCTTCAGGCACGTTGGTTTGTGTGAGCCGCAGAATGGTGTCGCCCACTTGAGGCTCCTCGAAGGTTATGCACACCTGCACCAATTAGACGAGGGCACAGACAAATGCAACAATTGAGCATCGAGTGCACAAAACCTGGAGAGGGATAGGGTGAAAGGTTGTGAAGTGATGACCCACTACCATATGCACCAACTACTTCCACGAAACTACCATCCACTAGTATCACCAACTCTTATCATCCTCTTAATCACTCACTCCTATTACCCACTCCTATCACTCACTCCTGTTACCCACTACTGTCAAGCACTCCTATCACCCACCACCACCATCACCCCACTCTCACCGTGGAGTAATGCCCATCAGGCCAGCTGCTGAACCGCCACTTCTGCATAATCATCCTGTTCTCGTCCAACCGCTGATTGACACCTGTCACGGACCCATCAAACAACGAAAACGTGCCCCCAACGTCCCGCGACAGCTTCGCCTTGGACTGTGTGAAAGCCATCCACCGCTTCTCATCCATCAGCGTCTCGTACAGATCCGACGGTCGACAGTGGAACCTCTGTGTGATGGCGATCGACTTCTTCCCAGTTCCGCTGCTGTTGCTGCTCTCTTTCTTGCTCTTGCTGGCTGGGGCTGTGCTCGCAGTGGTTTTAGCAGCAGCAGATGCAGATCCTGCTGCTGGTGCCGCTGCTGCTCCTGATTCTGAAGGAGCTGCTGCTGGTGCTGCTGCTGACGCCGTTGTTGCTGGTTTCACTGCCTTGGCCTTTTCTAGCTCGTCCCTCGCGGGACCACCAGCCTGAATGTCTTTAACGAACGTGCGGATTCTCTCCAGAATAAGCGGCTTGCCTCTCGCCAGCATCGCATCTCGCAGCCGATTGGCTGCTGCCGACCCTCCGCCGTTTCCGTCCGCCGATTCCGTGGCTAGGGCGATCTTCAACTCGGGATCCTCGTCGTGGTTCTCGTCCGCGATATAAGGCAGCTCGACGAAGCCCTTAACGGATGCGACAGGCTGCGCGTCGGCCGAGTCCTTGACCTCGCCCTCCCAGCCCAGGCGCACGTGAAGCTCGTAGCTGATTGGTTGAGAGGGACGGGAAATGACGGGGAAGAGGAAACGTGGAATTTATAAGCCTCGTAGCTGGTTGTGGGAGAAGGTGTGAGAAGGGGAGAGGAGGGAAGGTGACGGGAGAAGGAAAGGGTAGGGTTTGCCAGGCTCGTAGCTGGTTGACGGAAGGGGGAATGAGTTCGGGGAGGGGGAAATGCGACTGGGGAGGGGGAAGGTAGGGTTCCTGGTGAAACTCGGTTCTGCTTTAATTGTTGTTAAGGAAGATTCTGAGAATTCATAGAAACGCCTGCATGAGCGAAATCTTCCTTCGCAATTCGACCTCGGTATCCCCCTCGAGCGAGTTCACATCGTATGATGAGACAAAGCTATAAGGCGCCGCAAACATCAACATAGTTCTCAACATCAAGCTTCTCGATCGCAAATGTGCCCAACGAGCCTCCACCAACCCACTCTAGAATATCCTGATTGAAATACTCACCCGGGAATGATCTTTCCCTTGCGAATGTTGACATACGCCTCGCCGTCCATCTTCTCAATCGCGCCCGTGCGGATCCAGCACCCGCCTTCCCCCTCCAGAACCGTCAGCCCGCCAATCAGCTCCCCCAGGCGCCGCCGTGACCATTCCATGCAGTCCTTCTCCGCCCAGTGCCAGTTGTGCACGTTTGCGCCGTCCGCTCGATCCTGCACAATCCAACGGTTGTCGCCCTCGCCGATCTTTGCCATGGAGGCGAGTGTCGCGAAACTGGACGTGATCGACGCGAAAATAGGAGGAATGAGCTTCTACTGCGAGACGTCCTGGCGAAGCCAAAAGGGAATCGGGAGTGAGAGGTTGTGGTGGGAGTCGCGACGGCTAATCTCTCATATGATTAGTCAATGAACGTGGTAATGACAAGGATCTGGAAAACTAGATGACTTCATAAATAAACACTCCAACCAAGCGCTGGGTAGATTCGTGAAAAGTGAGGGGTTCTGCCATTGACTTTCTCTCACGGTACTGTACGGTAATGTGCGCGAAAGAGCATATATCGAAATTACCGAACGGTTCAGTATGGTGATCGGTGGGCACGAACTGCTGAAGCACACCTTGAGATTCGCGAAATCTGGAAAAGGGCCTGGTCCTTTTGAGAATTCGCGAACCGTCAGTGTCGCCCTTCTAGAATGCACGAGTATGCCACGTAGGACTTCAAATCAGGAAAATGCTTCCAGTTTCGCGAACATAATGGAAATAATAATGAAACAATACAAACCTCACTACATATTAGATGCATCTAGTATGCAATAACAACTACAGATATTCCCCCTAAATGCCCCACTGGCTATTGCCTACTGCAAAGTCTCCCTTGCACAGAAGCTCCTGGAGCAAAATCTGTGCAGCCTCTTCACCAATGAGACCTGAAATGGCCTCCATCTCAGGAGAAATCCCAGAAGAACCTATACGATCTATTGGGATCTCCATCATATTCTTTCCTCCGTGTTGTCCAGTGTATGGCAGGCCATTCGAAATGTTACGAATTCCCACCAAAGATTCACCCACTAACGAAGAAGCAGCGCCTCCCTGTAATTCCTGTTGGTGTGCAGAAGCAGCCCCTGGGGCCTGAAAAGCCTGTGGTTGATCGGCCACAATGCCTGCTGCTACACTCCCCCCTGGTGCTCCAACATCAGTTCCAAACCCATGGTGAGGCATTATTGCATTGTCTCTGCTGTTTATGCCAGTAGTGGCAAACGCCGATGCCAGGTGGCTGTCTGTCCCTTCCAGCAGCCTGCTCACATCTCTCCACTGCCGTGACACAAGATGCGACCCATTTGATACAACTGTATGGTCAGTGTGCAACACTGAAGCAGTTCCGGGAGCTGTGGGTGGGGCAGTGTAAGGGTCTGGGTTTGTTGCTACCCCACTTGACGACAGCTGCTGCTCCAGGATAAACCTGGCAATGTCTTTGCTGCTCACTAGACCATTTGCTACGAGCCCGTTGGCGCTGCATGGAGGGCCGGTACCCATAGCTCCACCAGAAAAGCCAGCGTCAGCGTTTCTAGCACTTCGGATAGTAACACTTTCGCTACTGCCCCCAGGACCAGGCTGGGGAGTCTGCTTCTGTTGCTGCAACTGCTTCTGCTGCTGCTGCTGTGGCTGATGCTGCCACTGCTGCTGCTGCTGCTGCTGCTGCTGCTGCTGCTGCTGCTGCTGCTGCTGCTGCTGCTGCTGCTGCTGCTGCTGCTGCTGCTGCTGCTGCTGCGGCTGCGGCTGCTGCTGCTGCTGCAGCATGGGTTGCGCCTCCGGGCCTGTCAGAAGCATCTCCCGCTGATGCACGGTATCGGCCTCCGACAGCAACTGCCGCACCTGCTGCCGCTGCTTGTAATTATCCAACAGCTCCTCCAACTCCCTCATCTCCCTCTGCTCCTCCGCCACTGCTCTCCGCTTCCGCTGGTACCGCTGCCACTTCACCTCTTCCTGCTGCGACTCCCCGTGTCTCGCGCCACCATCAGTGATCGTCCGTTTGAATCCCACGCTTGGCGACTGTGACTGAAACGAGGGGAGCGCGTCGAGGCTGTGGGCCTTCTCTAACGGGAGCTCCACGCCCACTCGGCTGGGACTCGCGGCTTCGGTGAAGCTCGTCGCGCTGCCGCTCGGCACGCTGGCTGAGCGAGGGCCCATGGCCATCGCCGCCGTCGTTCCAAGTGGGTGGATTAAGTGACCCACCGCTGCTTGAACCGGCAGTTGAACCACACCGCCCCCCGAACTAACCCGAGCGCCGCCACTCACGCCGTCAATTGCTGCGCCCCCACCACCGCTGTTACTAACGCCGTGTTGGTGACTGAATCGTTTGCCCTGGCCGATGCTCGCTAGCGCTGCCTGCGCTCGCGGTGATAACTGGCGCCATGTGCTCTCCGATACGGCACAATGAAGTGACTCTCCGTGATTCTGAAACCCATTTAAGCCTGCTAATCCAGTCAAGCCAGTCAATCCGGTCAATCCGGTCAATCCGGTCAATCCAGTCAACCCTGTGGCCGTCAATCCTGGCATGACGCCTGCGAAACCGTTATTAGTCAAGCCATTCAAGCCTGACAGACGAGCCTTGATCATTTCCCTGTCGAAATTCTCCCGAGCGACGTCTAGATCCGGCTCCGCCGCAGCGCGACGCTGCGCGCGATTCGCGGAATCGTTTTCCCCCGGCGGGGGAAAGTTGAGGTGCGCGTCGGATCCGTACAGCTTCAGCGCTGCCTCGTCGTACGCGCGCGCGGCCTCCTCCGCCGTCGCGAATGAGCCCAGCCACTGGCGCACCTTCCGCTCGGGGTCGCGGATCTCCGCCACCCACCGTCCCCACGTGCGCTGGCGCACCCCGCGGAACCTGTAGAGCGCGTTTTGCGGACCGCCCCGGTTCTGAATGTGGGGTAGTAGGAACGCCGGGTCCGTATTATCCATAAATAGAACCACCGGATGCAGCAGTCTGACAGTCTGGGAGAAATTTCTCACGATGACCTATGATATTTCTACGTCGAGGTTGTTCAACCAAAAAGTTATTGATAGATTCGACGGAAGGAAAAACTACTGTAAGACACCGATTAACTGGTCTGAGCGGACAAAAGACCGAAGGTAGATGACAAGGAAGCGGATGCAAGGACTGTCGATAATGAGGAATTGTTCCGTCCCTGTAGTATAAGAACACAGAGCAGCGGCGGTGGAACTCAACGAGACGACGAGCTTGAGGACGCGTCGATTCCCGGCTGTTGAGGAAGCGAAGGATTCTCATGAGGACTCTTCGGCGACGCTGAGGTCAGCTCAGCTGGCAATGGCTCCCGCCGTACACAATGTCGGTTTGTTTGGCTGCGTGTGGCGCCTGTCTCAACCAACAAACGCGACTTTCCCCTAGCGGCCGTGCCCGCGTCCGCCCCTAAACCTACCAAGAATGTGAGATTCGAATTTTGGTGAGAAATTTGGATCAGCATTCGGTGGCTCGACCTGAGACGCGCACGAGGGACCCATGTGCGAGGATTTTCCCACGTTGAGGAGTCCTGCCACGTGGGCCGGCACAGCGTTGGATCCGATGTGGCCGATGGCGATCCTACTGCCTGTATTCCTTCTCAAGGCAGCGCGAGATCGGGCCTGGCCTCGTACGATCGTATCGTTATTATTACACGGCATGTGACGCGTTTCATTGTGTTTGAATGGGATGCCCGCGTACGCCAGTTCATTGGCCAGCGATGCTTGCAATGGCAGCTTGAAAGACGTCTGGACCTACACGTAAGATCTTCGAGAGTTGTCTTTGCTAAGTTGTTGCACCTGGTTTCATCCACTGTGTACCGTTCGTGGGTTCAGATGGACAGCTACAGTGGTTTTCCTGAAGGTGCTTCCGCGCATAATAATTTCCCGAAGCACTCACAAATCTCGTATAGACATCTAGAAACATCTATTCAGGCAACTTGGTTCCTGGTTTGCGAATCAACCATCAGAGAGAGCTTTGAGAGGTACACTTCACCAGAACTTATGGTAACAGCAGCAGCGGCATACTGTAAGCTTCGCGTTTTGCCAGTCAGGAAATGGCAAGCTTCAACATTTCGATGCCCGAAACTACTGCACTGAATTGGCTTGAGAGATACGACACGCTGACAGGTCGTTTTACTTGGAGGATCATTTGAAAGCTGTTGACGTGTTTTTTTTCGCCAAATCAGCAAGAGATCCTCGCTTCCCGCGTTCCATCTGTGACGTGGCTATGCTTTGCAGTGACTTTGACTTGCCAGTGACAACATTGACGTATTGTACTCCGCCAAAAGCTTCTTCACCAAAGTCTGTATGAGAAACCAAGTCTTCATAACTACCTGCCTTCCGATGAATATTTGTGCAATAGTGCAGAAGTTCGCACAACCACACGTAGAAGTTCGGGAACTGCGCACAAGTTATCCGGTTACCCACGCAGAGACGGAGGGGATTTTCGCAGCTGTGTTCCAATTCCTCGGGATCTGCGTTAGACTAGACCCGACTCATTTTCTTTCAAGACCCAAGGACTGTCTTTGCGCTCCGGTTCGCCTATCTTTCTTCATCCAGCGATGGACATAACTGACGAAATTAGGGTGATCAGGCCTCAAACGTTAGTTTCTGATTCAAACGTTGACGCTGACGTTGACGTGCATCTCTTGCCCTGCTGCATTGAGCACAACGGACCAGCTGCCGTGTCGCGTTTTTTTCGTCCGTTCGAGGCCAAAGGTGGAACATTCTTACCTTGAATTCTCAACGGCGTCCCCACTATGTTCTGGTGGATTCATTTGAATAGTCACATGGTTATAGCGCATCAATCTGACCATCTTTTCCGACATTTCCTGGCATCGCAGATGTGATTATGGCGGATGGCACAATACCGTTGGAAGCCGCGTTCAGAGGCAGGAGGCTTCTGGGAAGGCGTCTTTCCCTTCCTGACGGCTACACAGGTGATTCTGAGATGAAAGGCTGTTGATTGCGTTTCCTAGTCTCCCTCTTGCATACCCCAACGTCAGCATCAGCCTGCAAAATATGAAACCCTAGTTCTCAACGTGCCCTCCCGTCGTCCTCGTCTCCTCCTCTGCTATCCAGGCCTCATATTAGAGAAAATGGAGGGAAGAACAGCAGCAGAAGCAGAAGCAGGTGTTGTTGAACCTCCCTCTAAACGGCAAGCCTTGGACGTTGCTGGAACCAGAGGCGGGGAAAGAGAGCAGGGGGTAGGAGAAGCAGAGGCAGAGGGGAGGGCAGAGGCAGAGGGAGACTCGGAGGCAGAGGAAGCAGCTGATTTCCCGCATGCAGCACAGTGGCAGGCTGTGGGGCAATTCTCCTCCTTCGTCTACTGGAACCATGATGGAGTTCCCAAGGCTGGGGATGGGCCTGCAAGAGTCTGTGATTGGCTGAGAATCGCCAAGGAGGTAAGGAGATGCCGTGGCGAAGAGGGTTGTTGAGGTGGTAGGGTTGTTAGGGAGGTATAGTTGGGGTTTGTGACGACCCTGACATTTGACTAAGCAGCATGTTAGAAGCAGGCATGTGATGGTACCATTCCATGTCATCATGCCTACACAACCCATGCCATGCTGCCATGCCACCAATGTTACCATGCTGTAATGTCATCCATGCTTCCATGCAACCATGCCTCCATGTTATCTATGCGCTCTCTTCTCCCTCCCGTTTTGCTCTCCAGTACCTCTCCCATTCCCACAACCCATCACTACCCCCACACAGCTACATGCACAAATACCTGGTTTAAGGCGTCCCACCATCCCCCTTTCCCCCTCCCCCTCCCCCTCACCCACCCACCCACCCACACCCCATCGCCACCAACCCCCCACAGCTACACGCGCCAATATCTTTGGAGGACGTGGAACGACAACTTTCGAAGTCACAGCCGGCCAAGTGACACGTGACAGCTTGCTTTTGCAAGAGCGAATTCAATGGTGCCCTACGTTAAAGCTGCGGTCTACATACCTCCAGGGACAGGCCTTGGTTTATCACTTGAAAACCGGGTGAACCAAGTACCTGTCTGTGAAGAAACAATCGAGGCGGAAAGAGGGAGGGGACTGGAGGTTCCCAAACCAATCGAGACCCTGTTCGATAGCAGGTGGCTCGCCTGCAACGGAACGGGACTAGGGAACTTTTAGCGTTTGCAAAATTTTGTCGCGTCTGATTCGGGAAGAAAGTCTCAGAACCAACACCTCACGTCCCCGTTCCGTTAGGTTATCGAACAGGGCCCGAAACTTAACCTAGGGCTTCCGCCCTTCCGCACATTCTTCCCCCAACCCTTCCTACCCTCACGAAATAACCAAATTTTCGCTTGATTATGTTTACCCATCCCATCGTCCCTAGCGAAACTGAGTAGTTCCGCCAGTCTTTTTTGACTGGGTCGCACGCACAGTTCCGAGCGGGAGCCTGTTCGCAAGCGAATCAACGTGTGTCAAAGGGTGTGCAATAGAAATACCCCCTAAAAACACCCAGATGTATGTAGACCGCAGCTTTAAGCGACGGGTGGTGTACATACACGACTGCTACCGCAATGCCCGTTCCACAAGCACATGCCATACCATACCCAGCTTATTCGCTGCCATATGAAGCACCATTCACAACAAGAATTTATGCGATGAAGCCAATAATTTCCAGGTTGGTTTGGAAGACCACCTTGCACAGGCTGCTTTGCAGCAGGCGATCATGACATGCGCGGCATGGCGTGTTTGCTAGCTTATGTATAACCACCCAACATCTAGTAGTGGCGTGGCGTATGAGGGGCCTATTATTAACATTCGAGCCACAGGGAATGTCTAAAAGCATAACATTTCATCTTGCAGCCGGCGGCATGGCGTGAAGTTTAGTGTACATGCGAGCCATGGAGCAGTAGCCTCGGTTGTCCCCAGCTCTAATCAAATTGCCTGCAGAGGGATGGGGACCCATGGGGAAAACACACGAGAGGGGGAATGTTCATGAAAGGGAGGGACATGAGAGGGAGAGTCATGAGCAGGAAAGTCATGACTTCATATGTCGACAAACAGGTACTGATTCAAGAAGTCTCACTTGAGCCACAGCCAAGAGGGCCCCCGCCTTCACAATCGCACAGGAGGATGATGATGATGATGATGATGGGACGAGAGACAGAGACTAATCCAATGCGCTTCACCTACCCCTGAGGCTGACAGCCAGCTAAACTGCGCTAAGCCGCAGTTGAGTGGGCTGTCAGCTTCAGGGTGGCACGGGAGAGTGATGATGGCTCGACACGCTGATGTGAGGGTCCCTGCTGGAAGTGACTTGTCTAACTCTACTGCCCTGATGTTTTTCACCTGAGTCGCAGTTGAGTGGGCTGTCAGCCTCGGGGTGGCAGAGGAGAGTGATGATGGCTCGACACACACACGTGAGGGTCCCCACCGGAAGTGACTCGTTAATCTAGACACATGGAGAGTGATGATGGCTTGATGCACGTGTGTCTCACCTGAGTCGCAGTTGAGTGGGCTGTCAGCTTCAGGGTGGCAGAGGAGAGTGATGATGGCTCGGCACACAGATGTGAGGGTCCAAGCAGGGCTCCATGCCGTCTTGAGGATGTCTAAGCAGATCTCCCCAGTCTGCATGGCATGGCGTGGGATGGGGGGAAGCGGGGGTTGGGGGGGTGGATGGGGAGTAAGTAAGTGAGGGAGTGATGATGGCATGACACATAGGTGTGTGAGGGTCCAAGCAGGGCTCCATGTGGTCTTGAGGATGTCCAAACAAATCTCCCCCGTCTGGGTGGCAGGATGTGGAAGAGGGTGGGGCGGGTGGATGGGGAGTAAGTTGGAAGGAGGGTGATGATGGCACAGCACATAGATATGATTAACGAGCGAAGGGCACGAGGGTCAAGGCAGGGACCCATGCCGTCCTGAGAGAGCGATGATGGTGTGCCACATCTTGAAGTGCACGTTGGGGAGGAAGGCCCTGGTTGACTTGAGCTGACTCAGAGTTGACTGACCTTAAAGTGCACGCTGGGGTGGAAGACCCTGGTTGACTTGAGCTGACTCAGAGTTGACTGACCTTAAAGTGCACGCTGGGGTGGAAGACCCTGGTTGACTTGAGTTGACTCAGCGTTGACTGACCTTGACTTGAAGTGCACGTTGGGGTGGAAGACCCTGGTTGACTTGCGTTGACTCGGAGTTGACTGACCTTGAAGTGCACGTTGGGGTGGAAAACCTTGGTAGCGAACCGCACTTGGGGCGGCACAAGCGGGTACTGCTGCGGCACGTTGATGGCGAGGGTAAATTGCCCTCCGTAATACGGCGTGTCAGATGGGCCCTGGGAAACGATCAGGGGGCACACGGGTAGGCGGAACAGGGAGGCGGGGATGGGGGAAGGGGGAAGGGGGAAGGGGAGTGGGGGGAGGGGGGAGGGAAGGCGGACACAGGGTCAACCTTGGGCTTCGTGGCAGGGCCTCTATGTACCAAAAGGCAGGAAGGGTGGAGTTGCACGGGGGTAAAGAAGGATGCGAATACGTGGGCAGGTGTAATGAACCTGGCGATAGACAAAGGGCGGGTGCTAATATGAAGAACAAAGACACATCTTGAGCAATTCAAAACCTAGATCCTAACATATCACCGATAGGATGGATGGACTCGAAAGGGGTGTTCTTTCTTTGTGGAAATTTTTGAAAGGGAGAGAGAGAAAATATTCGAGGGGGGTGCTCTTTGAGAAGAGTGGCAGACAGAGAATAGCCGGTGGGATACCCCCTGCTCTTTGAGCGGGGGGGGGTGGGGGTCCCACAGGGGTATTCCGGGGGTATCCCTGAACAGCCAGCCGGGTGGGGTGCATTGATGAGAGCCGTTCATCTGTATACGCTGATCTCACATCACCACCATCCGATCCTCACATACATTGATCAGGGCCGTCCATCTGTAGATGTTGCTCTCATCACAGCTGAGGATGATGTCAGCATCGGGTGACCCCCGTGCCTCCTTCTGTGCCTCCTTCAACTCCTTGAACAGCCGCGACCGCGACGCCTGGGATTGAAAGAACGATAGTGAGACAGACGGGTAAGTGGGGATGTAGGAACTATAGTCATTCTCAGCTGCTACCCGTGCCTCCTTCTGTGCCTCCTTCAACTCCTTGAACAGCCGCGACCGCGACGCCTGGGATTGAAAGAACGATAGTGAGACAGACGGGTAAGTGGGGATGTAGGAACTTTAGTCATTCTCAGCTGCTACCCGTGCCTCCTTCTGTGCCTCCTTCAACTCCTTGAACAGCCGCGACCGCGACGCCTGGGATTGAAAGAACGATAGTGAGACAGACGGGTAAGTGGGGATGTAGGAACTCTAGTCATTCTCAGCTGCTACCCGTGCCTCCCTCTGCGCCTCCTTCAACTCCTTGAACAGCCGCGACCGCGACGCCTGGGATTGAAAGAACGATAGTGAGACAGACGGGTAAGTGGGGATGTAGGAACTATAGTCATTCTCAGCTGCTACCCGTGCCTCCCTCTGTGCCTCCTTCAACTCCTTAAACAGCCGCGACCGCGACGCCTGGGATTGAAAGAACGATAGTGAGACAGACGGGTAAGTGGGGATGTAGGAACTATAGTCATTCTCAGCTGCTACCCGTGCCTCCCTCTGTGCCTCCTTCAACTCCTTGAACAGCCGCGACCGCGACGCCTGGGATTGAAAGAACGATAGTGAGACAGACGGGTAAGTGGGGATGTAGGAACTATAGTCATTCTCAGCTGCTACCCGTGCCTCCCTCTGCGCCTCCTTCAACTCCTTGAACAGCCGCGACCGCGACGCCTGGGATTGAAAAAACGATAGTGAGACAGACGGGTAAGTGGGGATGTAGGAACTATAGTCATTCTCAGCTGCTACCCGTGCCTCCTTCTGTGCCTCCTTCAACTCCTTGAACAGCCGCGACCGCGACGCCTGGGATTGAAAGAACGATAGTGAGACAGACGGGTAAGTGGGGATGTAGGAACTATAGTCATTCTCAGCTGCTACCCGTGCCTCCCTCTGCGCCTCCTTCAACTCCTTGAACAGCCGCGACCGCGACGCCTGGGATTGAAAGAACGATAGTGAGACAGACGGGTAAGTGGGGATGTAGGAACTATAGTCATTCTCAGCTGCTACCCGTGCCTCCCTCTGCGCCTCCTTCAACTCCTTGAACAGCCGCGACCGGGACGCCTGGGATTGAATGAATGATGGTGAGACAGAGGGGTAGGTGGGAAGTTGAATCTACTTGTCAGCAATGGCTGGCCCCCGTGCCTCCTTCTGCGCCTCCTTCAACTCCTTGAAAAGTCGTGACCGCGACGCCTGGGATTGGATAAATGAGATTGAAAGAGGGGGGTGGGTGGGGAGATAGGAGTTGTCAGCGTCAGCTGCTACCTCTGTCTCCCCTTGCGCATCTTTGAGCTCTTTGAAAAGCCACCACTGCGACACCTGCAAGTGGCGGGGGTAGAAACAGCAACAGCTCTTTGAAACAGCTCCTTGGAACAGCTCCTTGAAACAGCTTGGAGGGACGGCAAAAATCTGAGACGAATCTGTGAAGAGTCCGAGACGAATCTGGGAAGAATCTGGGAAGAATCTGAGACGAATGTAAGATGAATGTGAGGAGAATTTTGCAAGGCAGCCAGGCAAAGTTTGTTGTGAGGGAGCTTAAAGAAAGGGAGAGCAAAAAACAGAAAAGACAGGGTAGACGGAAAAACCGAGTCGACATGCACCCACCCACCATGCGATACACCCATTACCATGCGACACGTCACCAGCATGCGATACACGTGCGACACACCCACCATGCGACTCTATATCCTGCTGTCGCTCCTGCACGTGCTGGCTCTCACTGAACCGCCTTCCACGGCTTGCCCTCGTCTTGCCTTTGTCTTGAACTTCTGCCCGTCCACTGGAGAGCGAGGAAGGCGACGTTTAAGTCGACTCGAAAGTTTCCTGCACGTGCTGGCTCTCACTGAACCGCCTTCCACGGCTTGCCCTCGTCTGGCACTTCCGTCCGTCCACTGCAGAGCGAGGAAGGCGGGGAAACGTGTCTTGAGACGTCTGGAAACGCGACTTGAGCACAACCTATTCATCTCTTGCCACGGGTGTGCAACGCCGGACGCGCAACGCTGGAAATCGCGACTAGTCGTCACTCCTGTTTCGTACATGGCAACGCGTGCTGACCGCGACAGACGTGGAAAAAGAGTGACTAGGATCACGACTGGATGACTACGCAAATTCTGAACACGCATGCTGAGTCGTAACGGTAACCCTAAATCTCAGCGCGAGTCTGCGAGACCGTCGCGAGAGGGAGACGAGGTTGGGTGCGACACACGCGAGAGGGGACATGCGACAAGGACGAACATCCAGCTACGCACGCACCTGCGACGAATGATTATTAAACAAGCGGCTTCTGTATTTCGTACGAACTTGCCCCGATGGTCCTCGACCTTCAATGTCGGCAGCGCGTTTGAGCGGTACGTACGTACAATTAGGAGCTGTAAGAGAAGAACGCGGTAACCAACAGATTCCTGCATAGAATTTCTACATAGATTCTTTTGTCGTTTTTGTGGTAGGCAGACTGACAGCCCGTCAAAAATAGGAGAGTCCCAGGGCCATCAGTCAGCATACCATTACGAGTGGTCAAACAATTGACGAACGCACGTCGTCATTCATTGTTACTAAAGGCGGGTTTACCGCGCTCGTCCTTCGTTTGTTCTGTGCGGCTTCTCTTGTGTCACGGTGCAAAACGGTGATGCTTGAGAACCGCTGTGCACCGTCTGGAATCGTCTTGCGCCACGACGGATTCACCCCCCTGATGGTGGAAGGTGACTGTTTCCTCTGCTTTCTCAGAACCTCTAACCTTCCAGAGGTGTTTAGGGCCCATTTTACGAACAGACGCCGCACAGGAGGTGGCCGATCCCCCAAATCCGAGTCCGGTTACACTGCTGCTTGCGAAAAACTGTAACTTTGTGCAAGGAGTGCGAAGAGCGACATTCTCAGCCGCTCGCGACGAGAAAAAATTGTGGTGACTCACGCATTTGGGAATTGATCGGAACGAATCCACACAGTTTGCACATGCGCGGTTCCAATTTATGCCACCAACATCATCACTTCCAACAGGCGTCACAATCAACCCCGACATATCCTTTCGCGACGGCTATCCGTAGGAATGCGCCCTCGCTCGGATCCCTAGACAACTCAACTATGTGCTATTGGCTGTGTCACACAAGACTTTCTAAGCCTTGCACCTCTCGCCACCAGCTACCTACCCGAACAAGACTTTCTATGTCTTGCACCTCTCGCCACCAGCTACCTACCCGAAAGACTTGCAGAGCCGCCTCGCCCTTCCAATCTGTAGTGAGGTCGCATGGCATTAGTCCGTCGCAAGGCAGTGTGGCTGTGTCGTAGGGGCGCGACGAATCAGGGATTATGGAGCTCGTCCTCCACACCAGGGCAGGTTCTGTTCGGACGCTCGTCACACCATGGGCTCGTCCTCCCTACTGGGCGACCGAGCGGGGCTCGTCGCACCCCGCTCCCGGCCTAACTGGGCGACTGGGAGGGGCTCGTCGCACACACCATGGGCGGCGTCACGGCGGCGGAAAATCGTTGACTCGACTCGCGCCGAAGCTCCGAACCAAACTCGCCTCTCGTGCTCTCCCACGGAGTATATTTACTCGCTCGGCCATCCACACCTCACAGTTCATTCCCGCAGTTCTCCTCCTAACCAGCAAGTAGCGTGCGTTGCTACCGCCGCTGGGACTCTCTTGGACTCGTAGCCGACCCAGTCCCCCATCTGCCGCAGCGCAATGGCTGCCTCGCGACGGGCCGTCACTCAAGCGCGCGGCGGTGCGTTCGCCGCGGGGCGGCTTCTCCCCGTGCTCGTCCTCGCATTGCTGCTCCAGGCGCCCTCCGCGTCCGCCCGCCACTGGTTCTGGAACGACGGCCTCTTCCCCGTCCCCGCGAAGCCTGCCACTCTCACTGCTGCGGAGTCCGACGGAACGGCAGCGGTGGCTGCCGGCCAGCCAGTTTCAGCAGTTCCGGCGCCAGCCCCGGCGGCGCCGGCGCCGGCTCCTGCGGTATCGTGCCACGACGCCCCTGTGGGCCGTTTCATCGTGTCCGGAGCCGCGCCCGACCCGTGTGCTACGCTGGCGGCGGAGCTGACGCGCAGTGCGGGGAAATTGGCGGGCAAGACTGGAGGGCAAGGATTCGCGGCTCCTTCTCTCTTCCGCGCGTGCCTCTCCACGTTCCTGTTCAGGTACTGTACCGCTACTGTTCATGTACTGTGAAAAGTTTTGCTGATTTTTTCCTAATCCGCTATTTTCATGCGCCACTGAAACCGAACTCCACGCTTTCTGGTATCGTTTATGTTGGCCTGATTTGCGGTTCTACGATTGCCACGGTCGATCTCCCACTGGCAGGAAGGACTGCGACGTGGAGGACCTGCTGTCGATCGCGAACGCGTTTGACAATCACTACGTGTACAAGTACATCGCCGTGGACTCGCCGGACCAGACCAACCTGCCGAGCAGCATCGATATTGTCGCGGAGCTGCGGAAAATCGTCGCGGACGCGAAAGCGGGAAAGTACCCTCGGCTGGTTGACGCGCACATGGCGGCATACCGGGCGACCTGGGCGCTCAACGACGGGCACAGCGCGTTTTCTCCGGATTGCTTCGGAGGGAGCAGTTACGACTTGCCGTTGCCGCTCATGGCTGTTGTCGAAAATGGGCAGCAGATCATTCGCGTTGCGCCACGCCGATGTGAGTGTTACAGTACTATGGGTTGCTCTGCACTAAGTGAGTGTTACTCTCTAAGGTTAGGGTTGTTTAATGGTACTCCCCAGCATTCTGCTGCAAAGCAGAGCAATCCTAAAGAGCACACCACGATAAAAGCTTAGCGCTTCCCTCTTTTGATGATCCCTCTTGCCATCAGATGTCACTCCCAACGGGTTGGATCATGTTGCGAAGGTTCTGCACAATTTTGACTTCAGTCTTTACGAGGGCCGACAGGTATGTGTGCAATAAACTGATTGAGTCACCTGGTTCGTTAATGTCATTCAAGCACCTGGTTCATTTAGCAGCGTCCTGCTTGCATGCATTACACACCTTTTCTACAAATCTATGTTCCACGTTTCATGCGACGTCCCAGGTGGTGGCTATTAACGGGGATAAGGCGGAAGATTTCATCCTGAATTGGGCAGACAAGGAAGGGGGCACGTTTCGCAATCGCGCTGCGAGATTCACGAAATCTTTCGCGAGCAATATTGCGCAAGGATCGTCGCAGGGGACAGACATCGTCCAGGTGCCAGGCGACTTCGCCCGGCGAGCCTATGCTCCCGAAAATGACACCTTACTGGTGTCGTTCGCAACCAAGTGAGTGACAGACAGTCGATTCTTATTGGCTCTCCCTGTCGCTACGTGTGTCGTTTCACTGCCTTTTGCTTGCTGCATTCACCGCTCTCATGCATTTCTTCACGTACAGTTTTGAACATGTTTCACGCCTTCTCTTCCGCGGCTGCCAGAGTAATCCTCTCTGTGCTGCTCTCTTTGCACCTCTCAGAAATAGTGCTTCGACGGAGGACGTTCAGGTGCCATGGATCGGGACAGGAAGTCTGAATGCCTTCACGAATGCCACGGAATACTGGGCGACGTACTGTGCTGTGGAGCCATCAGCTGCTGCCACTGACAACACCAGTGCGCGCGCAAGCACGCGCGGACATGCAGACACCCCAGTGATATACAAGATGCTCGAACGCCATCCCGCTCCAGTCTACTATGACGATACCAGCAACGGCAGCGACAACCTGAATGTCGAGATTGCGTCGCTTTCTGCTGCAGCAAACGGCTCTTCTGGAGCAGAACGGGGGCCGGTTGTAACGAGGATATCACCGAAGGATGACCTTTTCCTGGTGAGAGAGATGGCTTCAGTCGTTTGGGTGAATGCTGGAGGTTGTTATAGGCTTTTGCGTGGCGGGTGCTTGGCTTGTGATGACGTCAGGGCCTTGGCGTCTGTGGCCCAGCATCAAGTGACTTGCGTGTGCCAGCTGGTGTGCAACAGTAACTGACTGCCACCTGATATGCTATGATCTGATCTTTTTTGAGGTGCCTGCTGCACTTACGTAGACCAATCATGTGCGTCCAACTCGTTTTCGTGTGTGTGTGTGTGCCCGCACGCGCGTGTGCGTGCGTGTGCGTGCTGTGCTTGCGTGTGCGTGCTGTGCGTGCTGTGCGTGTGTGTGCGTGTGCGCGCGCGCGCGTGTGTGTGTGTGTGCGTGCGAGCAGGTGTATCTGATGGGCGGCAGCACGGCCGTGATATGGATTCACACGTTCAGTGACGACATCAAGCATGACGTCATGGACCAGGAGATCACCAAGGCTCTTCAAACCGCAGCAGCGTCAGTACTACTCCTCCCTCTCCCCCCATTTCTGCCCCCTCCAACCCTCCCCCGCACCTCTTCCCACTCCTTGTCTCATTCTATGCACCTGACATGTCACTCCTCTAAACCTTAGCACTTGCCCGCCCTCGTTTCCCCGTCTTGCTCATTGCCCCATGTTCCTTTCCATGTCTCCTCCCTTGCCCCCACATGTGCTCCCCATGTGCTCCCCATGTGTTCCCCATGTGCTCCCCATGTGCTCCCCATGTGCTCCCCATGTGCTCCCCATGTGCTCCCCATGTGCTCCCCATGTGCTCCCCATGTGCTCCCCATGTGCTCCCCATGTGCTCCCCATGTGCTCCCCATGTGCTCCCCATGTGCTCCCCATGTGCTCCCCATGTGCTCCCCATGTGCTCCCCATGTGCTCCCCATGTGCTCCCCATGTGCTCCCCATGTGCTCCCCATGTGCTCCCCATGTGCTCCCCATGTGCTCCCCATGTGCTCCCCATGTGCTCCCCATGTGCTCCCCATGTGCTCCCCATGTGCTCCCCATGTGCTCCCCATGTGCTCCCCATGTGCTCCCCATGTGCTCCCCATGTGCTCCCCATGTGCTCCCCATGTGCTCCCCATGTGCTCCCCATGTGCTCCCCATGTGCTCCCCATGTGCTCCCCATGTGCTCCCCATGTGCTCCCCATGTGCTCCCCATGTGCTCCCCATGTGCTCCCCATGTGCTCCCCATGTGCTCCCCATGTGCTCCCCATGTGCTCCCCATGTGCTCCCCATGTGCTCCCCATGTGCTCCCCATGTGCTCCCCATGTGCTCCCCATGTGCTCCCCATGTGCTCCCCATGTGCTCCCCATGTGCTCCCCATGTGCTCCCCATGTGCTCCCCATGTGCTCCCCATGTGCTCCCCATGTGCTCCCCATGTGCTCCCCATGTGCTCCCCATGTGCTCCCCATGTGCTCCCCATGTGCTCCCCATGTGCTCCCCATGTGCTCCCCATGTGCTCCCCATGTGCTCCCCATGTGCTCCCCATGTGCTCCCCATGTGCTCCCCATGTGCTCCCCATGTGCTCCCCATGTGCTCCCCATGTGCTCCCCATGTGCTCCCCATGTGCTCCCCATGTGCTCCCCATGTGCTCCCCATGTGCTCCCCATGTGCTCCCCATGTGCTCCCCATGTGCTCCCCATGTGCTCCCCATGTGCTCCCCATGTGCTCCCCATGTGCTCCCCATGTGCTCCCCATGTGCTCCCCATGTGCTCCCCATGTGCTCCCCATGTGCTCCCCATGTGCTCCCCATGTGCTCCCCATGTGCTCCCCATGTGCTCCCCATGTGCTCCCCATGTGCTCCCCATGTGCTCCCCATGTGCTCCCCATGTGCTCCCCATGTGCTCCCCATGTGCTCCCCATGTGCTCCCCATGTGCTCCCATGTGCTCCCCATGTGCTCCCCATGTGCTCCCCATGTGCTCCCCATGTGCTCCCCATGTGCTCCCCATGTGCTCCCCATGTGCTCCCCATGTGCTCCCCATGTGCTCCCCATGTGCTCCCCATGTGCTCCCCATGTGCTTCCCATGTGCTCCCCATGTGCTCCCCATGTGCTCCCCATGTGCTCCCATGTGCTCCCCATGTGCTCCCCATGTGCTCCCCATGTGCTCCCCATGTGCTCCCCATGTGCTCCCCATGTGCTCCCATGTGCTCCCCATGTGCTCCCCATGTGCTCCCCATGTGCTCCCCATGTGCTCCCCATGTGCTCCCCATGTGCTCCCCATGTGCTCCCCATGTGCTCCCCATGTGCTCCCCATGTGCTCCCCATGTGCTCCCCATGTGCTCCCCATGTGCTCCCCATGTGCTCCCCATGTGCTCCCCATGTGCTCCCCATGTGCTCCCCATGTGCTCCCCATGTGCTCCCCATGTGCTCCCCATGTGCTCCCCCATGTGCTCCCCATGTGCTCCCCATGTGCTCCCCATGTGCTCCCCATGTGCTCCCCATGTGCTCCCCATGTGCTCCCCATGTGCTCCCCATGTGCTCCCCATGTGCTCCCCATGTGCTCCCCATGTGCTCCCCATGTGCTCCCCATGTGCTCCCCATGTGCTCCCCATGTGCTCCCCATGTGCTCCCCATGTGCTCCCCATGTGCTCCCCATGTGCTCCCCATGTGCTCCCCATGTGCTCCCCATGTGCTCCCCATGTGCTCCCCATGTGCTCCCCATGTGCTCCCCATGTGCTCCCCATGTGCTCCCCATGTGCTCCCCATGTGCTCCCCATGTGCTCCCCATGTGCTCCCCATGTGCTCCCCATGTGCTCCCCATGTGCTCCCATGTGCTCCCCATGTGCTCCCCATGTGCTCCCCATGTGCTCCCATGTGCTCCCCATGTGCTCCCCATGTGCTCCCCATGTGCTCCCCATGTGCTCCCCATGTGCTCCCATGTGCTCCCCATGTGCTCCCCATGTGCTCCCCATGTGCTCCCCATGTGCTCCCCATGTGCTCCCCATGTGCTCCCCATGTGCTCCCCATGCGTCCCCTCATGTGTTCCCGCATGCGTCCTCCCATGCCTCCCCCCATGCATTGACCCATGCCTCTCCCCATGTGTCCCCCCATCCCCCCACACTCCCCCCCATGCCTCCCCCATGCTCGCCCCCATGCCTCCCCGCAGATCCAACGCCTCGCAGATCATAATAGATGTGCGTGGCAACGGTGGCGGCTCCACTGTAGCATCATACACAGCCATCCGGCTTCTCATGGGGGCAGCCAAGGTCCCCGACTCGGACTTTGCCATGCCTGTGGATTTTGTCGTCGGCACCGAGTACACCGAGAATGCCATCGGCGTGCTCGCTGTCGATCAGACATCTCTCTACTGCATTGGCGATTACACCGACCTCAACGGAACGGAACTCACAAGCGTGTTCGGCTACGCTCCCTTCCGCGAGCTCCGCTTCACACAGGCCAGCCCGGCTGGCAACTACTCGGCGCCGTTTAAGACGAACGACACATTTGCCGGGAAGGAGAAGCAGCCGGTGTTTGGCGACCGCCCCTTCCTGGTCCTGTCGGACGGAAACTGCTTCTCCGCCTGCGCCATCCTCACGCACATCCTGGGGAAACGCCACAAAGTGCCCATGGTAACCGTGGGTGGTTTGCCCAACCAGCCCCCCGATGTGAGCTCCTCGTGCCTTGGGTTTACCATGATGAACTTCGCTGACACAGCCAAGAGTCTCAGCCAGCTTTCTGCCATTGTGCCAGATCTCGCGTCGCTGCCTCTCAAGGTGAAGGGGACGATTGCCATGGCACTTACCAACGGGTATGTGGATTCAAAGATTCCGTGCGAGTTTGAGTTTCTGCCCAGCCAGCATCACATCAACTACACCGTTGATCTCATTGACAAGCCCTGGGCCATGTGGAGTGAGGTGGCCAAGCTCTTTGCCTCCGCTGCAGCCTAACTGATGCCTGTCTGATGAGTATTGGCTCAGAGTGAGGCTGCCACAATCTGTGCTTATGCTGGTGGTGGAATCTGGATATCTATTATGCTGATGCTTGTTATGCTGATGGACGGTGTTTAGTTTATCGTGATGTGTAGTATTTATCATGGTGAGTTGTATTTCCTGTATCATCCAGGTTTCACAGATGGCTGTGGCTGATTTCTCCAATGAGATTGATGTTATGGGCTGAACAGTGAACACCTCTGTTTCAAATACGGTACGGTACCTGTGAGATGCTCCCAGCCATTATCTGAAACCCTATCACTTCAGCAGCATGTATGTACGTACCAGTTTCATTGTTGCATTGCAACTAGCTGTTTAGGTTTTGCTGGTGCGGATTGCTAGCATTCTTTATGGGCGCTATCTCTCAATCTCTTTTTGAGGGGATGAGTGGTTTGTTTTTATTGTGCTACCGTATCATGCTATGTGATCGGCATGCTTGTCCAGCGAGTAAAATGGGTGGTAGCTGCATTACGAATCATTCCTGGTTGTCCTGGAGTGGTGCTGGAGTGGTGCTACGGTAAATCGTTTGCGCAGTGCTAAACGCAGTAGCATCCATAGCCAGTTGCATTAGGACGGTGGCGGTGGCCTGACCTCACCGAATATATTTGGTGTGCAACAAAAAAAAGCACAAAGTGATCACAAGAGGGAGCTTGTAAGGTCCACCTGTATACACTCTTTCAGGTGCTGTAGTGTAGATAGATCCCCACTCTAAACAATGCCCTTCCAGCAGCTTGCTCCTACTCCTAAATCAAAAGTCAGCGGATCCAGGCACGCGAGGGAAGGGGATGGCATCGCGAATATTCTCAACGCCCGTTGCAAACTGCACCAGCCGCTCAAAGCCCAGCCCGAACCCCGCATGGGGGACTGTGAGGAGAAGGGGAAGAAGAGGAGGTGCATGGGGGGGGGGGGGGGGGTTGGGGAGAGGGATTAGGGGGGATGGAGGGGGGAGAGTGACATTCAAGAAGGATGAATGGAGAGGCGAACGGGAATGTGTGCCGAATCAACCGCCGATGCAAAACCGCACCAGACGCTCAAAGCCCAGAGCAAAGCCCAGAGCAAAGCCCAGAGCAAAGCCCAGAGCAAAGCCCAGAGCAAAGCCCGCATGGAGGGCTGCTTGGAGAAGGGGAAGAAGGGGGGAGAGAGGCGTAGAGGGGGGTTTGAGGGAAAACGAGAGGGGAGGCAAAGATGGAAAGCGCCACGTCTCTCATGCGCCCCGCCCCTCCAGCAGCTCCAGCCGTTGGTTGATGTGAGGCTTTGGCCCCCAAAGGGGGTGGGGTCGACTCAACCATTGCTTCAAGCTGCACAAGATCAGATTCTTAAAGCCCAGACATAACCTCGCATGAGGGGTTGCGTAAAGTGGAGGAGAAGGGGAAGAAGGGGACTTGGCTGGCTCGGGCGCACTTGAACCCACATGAACCGCACTGAACCCACCTGAGCCGTATCTGCGGAGGTCGAGGTACCACCAGTAGGCCTGGGGGTCGAGCCCCACGTCCCTCATGCGCCCCTCCAACACCTCCGGCCGCTCCTCCCTCTGACTGCCGCCTATCAGCTCCCCCACCTGTGCTCCGACGAGATTCATGGGGACGGATGGAAAGCAAAGAAGACAAATGAGCTGTGAATATACTTTTGAAAAACAGCTGACTGTAGCCTATCAGCTCCCCCACCTGTGCTCCTCCGCCATTCATGGGGAAGGACAGCCAAGAGAACACATGAGTCTTACATTGATTCTCCCAACTCCATGTTCCACATGTGCTCTAGAGAAGGGGAAAGGAGAGAATGAGCTGAATCACATGGATGACCCTTGATGGAGAGAAAAGGAACCACCTACTACTCTCACCACAAGCCTCAGAACGGCAATAGCACATGTTTTAACTCAGTCGACTGAAACACATGGTGGTTTGCGTGCATTTTAATATCAGGCACACGCTTCTGAGATTCATCGAGACTGATGTAAGATTCTTGATACTTCTCCAAAGTGGCACAGCACGGCCCTACCCGGGGAACGAGCACATCCATGGCTGCAACGGTCTTGCCATCGTCGTTGAGCCGCATGTAAAACGCCTTGATGTCCTGATGCGGGGTAAGCGAGGGAGGGAAAGGAGAGCAGTAAGCCATGAGGAAGAGAGGGCAGGGGGGTCCGCTGATTGCTTGCATCACCGAGTTACGGTCTTGCCATCATCGTTGAGCCGCATGTAGAACGCCTTGATGTCCTGAAAGGTGGGGGGGGGGGGGGGGGGGAGGGGGGAAGAGGTGTGGTGGAATGCAGGAAAAGGGGGAGGGAGGAGGAGTGTGCAGAAAAGAAGCGGGAGGGGGTCGTCGGAGAGGGGTGAAACCAGGACGGCTGAAAGGAGAGGCGAAAGGTGAACGAGGGTGTGACAGGAGAGGAGAGAACGGGGAGAGGGAGGGTGAGGGAAGCAGGAGAAACGAGGGAGGGGGAGGGGGAGTGGAGGGAGATAGATTGTATAGTTGACTCCAGAACATTTCAAGACGACTCAAGAATCGACTTCTCACCTTGAGGTAGTCGGTGACAATGATGGGTCGGTTCTTGAAGGCTTTCTCTGTGACGTACCTCTTTTGAGACGTCCTAAAAGTCGGCTACTGACCTTGGGGTGGAAGTTTAGTCGACTCAAGAATGTCTCGATTCGACTCAGAAATCGACTTCTCACCTTGGGGTAGTCGGTGACAATGATGGGTCGGTTCTTAAAGGCCTTCTCTGTGAGGTACCTCTCGTGCTCGCTCTGGAGGTCAATCCCCCACTCCACCTGCATGCAGGACGAGAGAAGGAGAGCATGCGCATGTAAGCATAGAAGCATACAAGTAGGTGAGCATGTGGGCAGTAAGTTGTTTTCTTTTAGACTTCCATACGTTTTTTTTTTTACCACGGTTACATGGTGCACCAGCAAGTAGATCAGCCCAACACCTCAGAATCGATTACACACGCAGACCGTGGCAGGCGGATAGAAACAACAGCAACTGACCGGGTAGTCGAATTTGGTCTTGGCCTTTTTCAAGATGCTGATGGCATCGGTGTAGGGCACATGCTCAAACTCACTCTCCACCACTGACTGAACAATGGTGACATGGGGAACAGAGATCACAAGCAAACAGATGTATGTTAGAGACGGCTTGGTCTTGGCCTTCTTCAAGATGCTGATGGCATCGGTGTACGGTACATGCTCAAACTCGCTCGCTCTCCACCACCGACTGTGGAATGGGCACACGGAGGGAAGCAGGTACGTTCTGAGTTGAGTTAGAGTAGAATTCACTCACAGCACATGCTAAAAATCACTCACTCTCCACAACCACCGACTGGATGGGAAGGGTAGGGAGGGGGGAGTGAGAAGGAAGAGGCACGTTATGTTACGTGGTCAAACTCACTCTTTAAGCCCAAACGAGAGAGCACAAACAAGGGTAGAGGTAACAGGGAGTTCTACTAGAGAACAAGGATTAAACAGCCAAGGGTTGCGGGTGCTTTCTCGGTGGAAAGAGAGCAAAGGTTGTGGGAAGGGTGGCAGTGTCAGGCACCCTTCCCATGCAGCACGTTTTCAGACTGACAGCTAGAGTAGTAGGCTTAGTAGGCTGACGCCTAAAAATACTGCAAGTGTTATAAACAAAAAACTGCAAGAGTCACAAAAAAATTCTGCAAGCATCCTGCTTCCTCGGCCGTCTCTCACCGTGAGGCGTTGGATGATCCCCGGCTCCACAAACTAAAGTTGTCAAACTTGTCAAAGAATCTAAAGTTGTCAAAAGCGGACAGGTGGGCTGCGGAGGCCTTATTTCCATCAACTCGTGCTGTTTTAGGACAACGAGACAAACTCCATGGATTGATGGCGGAAAAGGGCCTGGTTACGCGCTAGCTTAGAACGTTTCTTAGAGAGCCAGTATGGATCAAATCTTCACTATAGAATCAGAACATTGTGTAAACTAGTTTCGGCTTTTGCTTCCTCGGCCGTCTCTCACCGTGAGCCGTTGGATGATCCCTGGCTCGACAAACTTGTCAAAGAATCTGAAGTCCTCCGCACACTCGCTCATGGCTTCCTGAAGCTGGAAGAGGAGGGAGAAAGGAGAGGAGGGGAGAGGTGGAGATGGAGGAGTGTGGAGGGAGGAGCGTGTGGAGAGAGTGGAGAGGGGGAAGAGTCGAGGGAGACATGTGACGAGAGGGAGAAGAGGGTGGGAGAAGAGAAACAAGAGGATTAAGGAGGGTGGGGCAGGGGGGCTGAAACGTAAGATGGCACGCCAGACAGAACAGGCAGCTTAACAGCAATTGCAAAGTAGGTAATCTCTGGGTGTCGGCAGGCACGGCAGGGATAGCGGGCATAACCTCCGTCTAGTCCTTCTTCATCCGCTCTATGACTTGGAAAGCTTGTCCAACCACCATGTGCATGTGTGCATGGTGGTTGCATGGGTGCATGGTGCATGTGTGCATGGGTGCATGGTGCATGTGTGCATGGGTGCATGGTGCATGTGTGCATGGGTGCATGGTGCATGTCGCATATGTGCACATGCACATGGGTGCATGCATGCATGCATGCTGGGCTCACAATGTACTTGAGGTATGCCGTGGCGCATGCCATGTCATCTGCCAGGTCAGCAAATGCCAGCTCAGGCTCGATCATCTGACGGTGACGAGGACGAGGCGGTGGAAGGGGGGTGGGTGGGTGGGTGGGTGCGAGGGAAGGATGGGACGGAAAAGTGTTGAGAGTAAGGAGGGAGGGGTGAGTGAAAACGAGAAGGGATAGGCAAGTTGGAAAAGCCAACGCGAGGTGGTTTGAGAAGTGGGGCCTAAGGGATGGGCAGATAGTCCACTGCTGCAAACAGCAAGCACAGCCAAATAGGAAAGCTGTTCGGAGCGTAATGGTGTCTCGGAAATTTGTGAGGCAAACTTGATTCAATGAGGCATACCCAAACCTAGGCAAGGCCTACCCAGAACTCGGCGAGGTGGCGCGAGGTGTTGGAGTTCTCTGCTCGGAAGGTGGGGCCAAACGTGTACACCTGAGGAAAGGGGATGGTTGGGAGAGGCGTGGAGGGGAGAGGTGTGGAAGGAAGAGACGTGGAGGAACGAGGGACAGCATTTTGAGGGATGCCACATTGTGCAGAGCACACGCGTACATCTCTGCATTCAGCTGCCCTGACACTGAGATATGCGACAAATTTTTAGGGCGCCTAGAAAATTGTGCAGGAGGATGAAGGAGGGAGGGAGGAGGATGCGAAGGAGCATGTTCTCACTCACATCGTGCAGAGCACACGCGTAGATCTCCGCATTCAGCTGCCCTGACACTGTGAGGTACGCCGGGCGCTTGAAGAAATCCTGTGACAGAAACACGCCACACATGCACGGTACAGAACAGTAAAGTAAGATGCAGAAACACATCAAGACGCAGGGACACCACAGTCAGGTAGAGAATGAATTGTCTACACTCTATTCACATTGTTTGCATTGCCTCTAACTGAATCTACACAGATGCACGACAGAGTCACAGAAGCAATGTATTATGTATGACCCTGCACAGCACACTCACCTAGGTCCCCTGACTGCATGACCTCACGCATTTCTGTGCCACGTCATTTATCTGTGCCAGGTCATCCACATGTGCCACATCATTCGCCTGCGCTACGTCATTCACCTGTGCCACGTCATTCACTTGTGCCACGTCATTCACCTGTGCCACGTCATTCACCTGCGCCACGTCATTCACCTGTCCCACGTCATTCACCTGTGCCACGTCATTCACCTGTGCCACGTCATTCACCTGTCCCACGTCATTCACCTGTGCCACGTCATTCACCTGGGACCAGTCCACGGATCCGTCCTTGTTGGTGGGGATGGCCTTTACTGGCGTGGACGCATCGGGGGTGCCCGGCAGCTGAGCATGTCAGATTGGAAAGGGGAAAGACAATAACGGGGATGGAAAGAGGGGGGTGGTTAGACTCGTGAGGGGATGGTGATGATGCGGAGAGCAGGCCTCAGGAGTGGTGGGTGCTGAATCTGGACAGAGCAAGGAGAGGTCTAGACTTTAGTTTGTGAGGAGGACAGAGAGCAGGGAAGTGTTAGGTGAAACAGGGAGCAGTTGAAGGATGTGAATGGGTGCTGAGTTCATCCTGAGACCAAACCAGGACGGACCAAACCTGAGCACGGCCCCTTTCCCTTGCCCCTCCCCCCCCCCCCCCCCCCCCCCCCCGTCCTCCTAGTCTCCCACAAACGCATGCACATTCCATCGATTCCTGATCGCACCCACCCTCACACTCTCCAGTCAGCGTGGTCACTCTGAACAATTCTGGCCCTTTTACTTGGCAGTGAGAGATAGTGATGATGGGCGATGCCACCCACACAAGCCAACTGCATGGGTACACACACTTGACTGTTCCCAGTCCATTTTCCCACTGTGTGCATGTGCACAGCACATCACAGCACCGCACAGCACCGCATAGAACCCACCAGCATGGTCACTAGGAACTAATCCCTGGGCCCTTCACAGTCGGATGCAGTGATGATGGGCGATGCCACCCATCCACCCCTCCGCCACACACATGCATCCTTTCCCCCGCACCTAACCACACCCACCCACCCCCACCTCCACCCACAATCACCCATCCCCACCCACCAGCGTGGTCACTCGGAACTGATCGCCAGCCCCTTCACAGTCAGACGCTGTGATGATGGGCGATGCCACCCACACGAAGCCGTGCGACTGGAAGAAGCGGTGCGAGGCTTGTGCTAGCGCACTGCGCACCCGAGACACCTGGAGTGGGAGAGTGGTGGGGTGGGGTGTGGTGGGGCGGGGGAGCTATGGTGTTTGTGCGAGGTCTCAGGTGTGCTATGGCAGTGTGAGGATACTCCAACGAATGCGCTTCCTTCTTTTGAGGTGTCTCACAAACCTTCCCGTGTGCTCATACCCCATTAACATAGTCAACTCACGGCGCCGATGGTGTTGGTGCGGGGTCTGAGGTGGGCTATGCTGCGAAGATACTCCAAGGAGTGCCTCTTCTTCTGCAGAGGGTATGTGCTGCCATCACTGCCACCCACCTGCAAGAGAGGGAGGAGCGGGCGAAGCAAAGGAAGGAGGAGAGTTAGCAGAGGAGAACTCAGCAGAATTGTTCAATTAATACAAGCAAAATTCGACACCAGAGAATTGGGAATTTTGACAAGACGAGAAGAAGATCTATCCAGAGAGGTTCGACTGAATGTGGGGCGCTTCATGCACGGTGCTGAGAGGATGCAATGAGACACAATGCAGACAGAGATGCATTGGATGCAGAACTCCCACTTACCAAAAAGAGTCACTGAATGTGAAATCACCCTGAATAAAGAGGTGCTGCCCCACAGAATGTCTCCCTGTGGTGGCAATGCCCGACCAACATGTGTAAATTACACGAAGCACCTACAAGAGTAAGCTTTTGCGCCTTGATCTCAATCTTCTGGCCCTTGCCTTGGCTTTCCACCACCTCGCCCTCCACTGATACCGCTGCCCCTGTGGTGATGCCACCCCCCTCCACCTGGTGTGATGACCGCAGGGACGAGGACAAGAAAGGAGCCAAATGCTGAGGCGCCACAGAAAAACGTCGCCCCCCCCATCTACCTGGCCTGGTGTAATGACCACAGGGACGAGAGCAAGAAAGGAGAAATCATGGAGCACTGAACCTTGGGCACTGGTGACGCCACTGCTCTCTGGCTCACTGAGAGGAGCGATACCATGAGAATTGCCTTCACAGTTGGTCTCTACACTGCTCACGCTCCTGTACCTACTGTTAGCTCCTGCAATGCTCATCTATTACTGCCTCCTGGTGACTTCAGTTGTTACCTCCTGGTAGCTTCTGTTGTTACCTCCTGGTAGCGTTCTGTTGTTACCTCCTGATAGTCTTCTGTTGTTACCTCCTGATAGCCTTCTGTTGTTACCTCCTGACAGCTTCTGTTGTTACCTCCTGGTAGCCTTCGATCTCAGGTGTGGCCACCACCTGAATGCCTGAGAGGGACGAACCGTCGTTGAGCTGGATGGAGGGCGCAGATGGGGAGGCGGAGGGAGGAGAACAGTAGTGTGAGGGAACAGGAGGAATGACACGCATTGGCAGTCACAGGCATTGGCAAACGCAAGGTGCAACGATGGCACCAGATGGGATGGGCTGGAGTAGCAATGCATGACATGGCATCTTGTAATATGGCATGGCGTGCTACAGCAGATTAAACAGTGGCATGAATGTTGGGCATGACATGGAGAGAAGTCATCTAACATGACGTCACATTACAATAAGAATGTCAATGAACTCACCTCAATGAAAGAAAAGGCCTTTTGAGAGCGCACAGTCCGCACCCAACCACGGAGCTCCACGTGGCGCCCAACCTGCATCAAATCAGGCAATAAGGAAAAACCCAGACAGAGCTCACTGGCAGAACAGATCGTCCAATAGCATCCATGCATCTTATACTCACGGGCTGAGGACAATGCAAGACCAATACGAGACCCCACAAAGCATTCCATCTGTATCTCCTACAACCTTCTGTCCGTTGCATGTCATAGAAGCCTCCTTCAATTCATACCTGATCCATCCCTTCGTCCGGTCCGTTCTTAATATCAGCAATCCTCAACCGCTTTTTGAATTCTTTCACCATCCGCCGCTCCTTGCGCCTCCCCGCGCCTGCATTTCCGCTCCCAGCAGCCCCGCTCTCCGCTTTCTGCTCACTCGTCGACTCCAAGTCAGCTATTGCTTCAGCTGACGAAGCGGCTGCCACGTTCGCAACTGCTGACTCAGCTCCAGCCGTCGCTCCTCCATCGCCAGTTGCGCTAGAAGCCAAGCAGCGTACATTGCGACTCCGCCTACCAGCAGGTGCCACGTGTGCAATAACCGTCGATGAGTGTTCCAGATGTCTCCGCAGAACCCGCTGCTGGCCAAAGCCGTGAATCGATCGTCTACAGCCGTCGATTCTTATTTGCGTGCATCCGGCGATGCTTCCAGGCGACGCGGGACACCCGAGCCGGCGGATCGCCTGAGCGGGGAGCATCGATTGGTGCAGACGCACGGCTGCTACTCTCAGCGCCGGCACGCATCGGCCCGCCGTCCAGTTCATACTGGCCGACATGGAACGACGAAAGTCGTTCGCGGTCTCAGCACGAAGCGAATCAAGGCTAAAACGAAAGTGCAAATACAGCGGCAGTCGCACACTTTTCAGAGCGTGCTCGTCTCCGCGAACGGGGACAGATGGAGCCTGGCTCCTGCTTTTGACTCTAGGTGCTAGAGGAACAACCCATGAGAACTTATGAGAAGACAAAAGCGGAGCAGAAGCAAGGCGGGAAAACCAGCGCGGGTGTTTCAATGTCAGCAACGGGAAATTCGTGGTTGAGGATTTCCCAAGGGAAAGGACCGCCAGGTGCCACGTCATGAATTTCTGACTGGCGATTGAGCGAATGGAGAATTATGTGGCATTGTCATTCAGAGAAAAACAGTAACGTTTTGTCAGCTAATCACTTTGAGCAATTGCACATATTAATAGCACTACCTTACTATAAAACAATGTCACATAATTAAAAGTATTTATGTTGGCAATTTGCTTCCATCCTACTCTTCCTTGCGAGCCTCGTCAACGACACGCAGAGTCTCCTGCGCAATGCACAGCTCCTCGTCAGTCGGCACAACCATAACCTTAATCTTCGCCCCTGGCACAGAAATCTCCCTAGCGCCCTTGCCCCCCTCATTCCTCGTCTTATCCACCTCGATCCCAAACGCCTCCAAACCCGCACACACCCGCGCCCGCACCGGCGCGGATCTCTCCCCAATCCCCGCACTGAAAACAATAGCGTCCACCTTCCCTTCCAGCTGGACCAGATACGCTCCTAGGTACTTCCGCACACGATGAACAAACACCTCGAGAGCGAGCCGATGCCGGCCACCCCCCTCCAAATCATCCCCTGCCGGTATGCACATAGCTTCAGCGGCCTCAGTGCGGTCTACGACTGCTTTCATGTCCTTGTCTCCGCAGATGCCAACCAGACCGGATTCCTTGTTGAGAAACGAGTCGATTTGAGCAGGGGAGAGGCCCTGCAGGTCTGAGAGGATCTTGGGGATGGCTGGGTCAATGTCGCCACAGCGAGTGGCCATGACAAGGCCTTCCAGGGGGGTTACTCCCATGGTCGTGTCAATGCACTTGCCCTGCACGATTTCAGGGGGAAAAGCCAAGGGAAAAGAAGAGGTTCGCATCAGAATGGGTGAGCAAGAACGAAATGAAAAAAATGAAACTAGCCAAGCCCACACAGAAAGAAAGAACATATCTTTCTAAAACCGCTGACCCACTCACCTCCTTGATGCAGGCCATGCTGGCACTGGCCCCCATGAGCAGCGTAATCACATTCATCTTGCTCTCTTACTTCCCAGCTGATCGCTTTATGAGGCGCCCTCAACAATCTCATCTAAAAAAAAACCCTCTTTCACTGATTCGACTCACCTCCTTGATGCAAGCCATACTCGCACCAGCCCCCAGGTGCAGCGTGATCATGTTCATCTCGCTCTCCTTCTTCCCCAGCTGCCTGGCCGTCTCCCGCAGCAGGTACATGTAGCTGGTGCCGTGGAAGCCGTAGCGCCGCACGCCCAGCTCCTTGTAGAGGCGGTAGGGCAGCGCGTACGTGTAGGCGTACGGGGGGATGGTGCTGTGGAATGCCGTGTCAAACACCGCCACCTGTGGACAGTCCAGCAGCTCCTGTGCCACCGCCATGCCCTGGCGATGTCAGTCAGGGGGGCCAGGAGGAGGTACGGATAGAGCATGGATGCAGGTCGAAGTGGGGAGGCGGGAGGCACAGAGTACGGGCGTTAAATCGAGCAGTCAAGCAGCTCTGGGGGAGCGCTGACATTGGGAAGGTAAAAACCGAACGTAGAGGGGAAGGTGGGGTGGGAAGAGACATGGAGCGCTCCTGGATCAATCTATAGGCTGGCCCAGTTTGTGCGAGTTTGAGGGCCTACGCGAGGTGTGTTGTGTGAGCCTGCGTGCTTGCAGGGGCTGGAGTAGCTTGCGTGGGAGGAAGTGTGCGTGTGCTTTCGTCTATCCCTGAGCATTTCCAGAAGGCTTTGGTCGTGCTGTCGTAGACCAGCTCTTCCTTGCATAGTCACAATTGCGTTACTCATTCCAGTTTGAACGTAGAGTTCCAGTGTGGTGCTTTGCAGTGGGAGTGCGGTTCCATGTGGTCCAGTGCGGAGTCAAGGCCGTACCTGGAGATTGGGCGGGTTGTGCAGCGGGGCGAGCGGCGTGAACTTCTTGAGCACGTCCTTCACGTGCTCCGTGATGATGCACGACTTGTTGATCTCCTCACCGCCGTGCACCGCTCTGTGCCCCACTGCCGTCACGGCGCTGCTGCCCTTGCTGATCCCCATCAGCTTCAGCGCGTGCGACATGGCCTCCTTGTGATCGCTGAACACCGCTTTCTGGAGCACGTCACACAGTGAGGGTTACAATGAGGGTTACAGTGAGGGTTACAATGAGTGCTACAGTGGGCGGTAAAAGACACGGTGAGTGCAAGCGAACACGCAGATGCGCGTGCGACATGGCCTCCTTGTGGTCGCTGAACACCGCTTTCTGGAGCACGTCACACAGTGAGGGTTACAGTGAGTGTTACAGTGAGGGTTACAGTGGGGGGTAAAACACACAGTGAGTGCAAGCAAACACGCAGATGCACTTCAGCGGAGTGAGCTGAATGAGTGGGTAAACGAGAAAGGCGGCTGAACAGAAAGAACGTGTTGAGAGACTGTGGAGCGAGGAGCAGAGCGGATTCTTTGGGGTGATCCCGAATTCGCAATGGAGGCAATGTGGTGACGGCGGCTGACCTCATGGACGGTCTGGTTGGTGGCGAGGGCCTTGTGCGTGATGACGCCCTTGGGAGTACCGATCTGCTCCACCAGACCCGACACCGCCAGCTTCGCCTTCAGCGCATCCGCGAATTCGTATAGCGCGTACCTTTAGTCACGCGAACATGAAACGATCACGCAAACGTGGAGAATCGCTTCAGAATAAAGAGATTTCAAGGAAGGGTTCAGAATAGGCTACTAGCCGCATTGTTGTTTCATACAAAAGGGCGACTTTTGAGCCCCGCGACACGGAGAAATGGATTCGCCAGAACAGCGCGCGGTAGTAGGCAGCATGATCAAGGCAAACGACATACTTGAGAGACGAGCTCCCCGCATTCAGCACGAGAATCGTCTTCGACTTCGCCATGTTTAGGCTTCACGAGAAAGCAACTAATTAGCGAGGCTTGGCAAGTTACAGTGAGAGGCTGGAGTAGCTGTCAACGAAAGCGTGGCTGCAAAGCTAGGAGGCACGGATGGCAGGAGATGGAACCATCAGTCGGTGGGGATGAATAACTGACTTGGCCTGACCACAATTGACCAGGGACAGCAGCTAATGGATTCTGAGATGTCTCTTCCGTCTGTTTATTGGAACAATCGGGAATGGAGGAGCAAAACCAACACCAGGCAAGCAGGGACGGAAAGGTATGGAAGGAATTTGGTTTGGAGATGCTTCTTCCCGCAACACATGCTGGGCTGACGTGGCGTTGATTTTCCGATGTGGCTGGGCTCGTGGCGGACGTGTGCCCTGATTTTCGGCGTCAGCCCCAAGAATCTTGCGAAACGGAGCAGTATAGCCCAACAGCACTACCGTCCAATCAGAGGCATGCCTGGATGCTTATTTGACCAATCGTAAATGTACTCGAAGTTCAGTTTATGCAGTCAATTTTATATCTCACAAACATCAATACCCGAGCTCCTTGAAACGGATCGAGCTCTGAAACCTTCTCCGACAGGCCCAAGGGAACAGAGGGAGGCTGCCCTTGGGAACTTCTATCTAGCTTTGAGACGGTTGTGACAGACTTCATTGAACCGTTGACATTCTCTGAAGTCGATAGGATACTCTCAAGGGTTGCTCTTGTTGCCCTGCCCCGTTCTCTGACTCTGGCAGAGACTAAATAATCTTGGCGAGCATCGCCTTGCCTCGTCCTCGATTGTCAACTCCTGACCTTCGAGCTTTCGCGCATTGCTTAGCAGACTGTAACGCATCCTTGCTTGTTACACAGGCGCATCGCAGTCGCAGGAGCCATGCTCAGATTGTTAGGGAAGCGGGTGGTGCAGCAAGCTAGCAGAGCGCGTAGCGGCCAAACCCGCGGCCACTCAGGCAGCAGTTATAACTCCTCGTCATGCAATGCTGTGCGAGGCCGATGGAGCGATATTTGCCGGAAGTATCAATCGCAGGCGCAGGTGTCCCCCGAGACCGTCGCATCGGTCGGTCTGTCGGAGACGCACGGTCTGCACAGATCCCTTGACGGAATAAACGCAGGTCCCCGGATCGCTTCTGCTGCTCAGACGCGAGGCTTGAGCAGTTTCGCGAGCAGAGTGGGTAGAGCAGAGAGAGGGGGTGACGGAGCGAAGGGACTAGGCTCGTCGGATCAGAGGAGCCGATCGATTAGTGGTTCGAGCAGGAGCAGCGCGCCTGGCAATGTGGGTGCGTCGCACTCCAAGAAACCGCATCAATTTGAAGGCTCTATTTATCTCCACCACTCCGAGTACGTTCGCGACCTCCTTGTTCAGCAAAAAGTAGACGGCTTTATCGAGAATCGTCGATTTTGTCTCATTGGAGCACCGCCGGTTTCTGCTAGCGTCACCTAGCAGCACAATGACGTCGTGCGCGCAAACGATGATCCGTCAGGCATAATCTTGTCGGAACTCGTCTCACGGGACACTGCTGACGCACAACGTGATAGCGTCACGCACTGAAATGCGAATGCGTCTATGTCATTCTTCACATCCCCCTTTTCCGCCTCTCCGCCGCTCCGTATCCTTTTCTGCAGCGTGGGTGCTCCTCTGAACTCCGCCGCTCTCAGCATCGGACTCATTCACGCGCTGCAGGTAAGCGAAAGCCATGGTCCCAAGTATCCATGACGTGAACTAACCATGGTGTGATCTGTCCATGTTCCGAAATCTCAATGGCATCAACTAAAACATGGTCCGAACGAATAGTTCACGGACTGAAGTAACCACGGTCTTTCTATTCGATTAATGGACGGCCTGGGACCCCGACACCCCCAGGTTCTGCGGCCAGGCGTGGGTTACTTTCGCCCGATCGACCAGACTTCGCATGGTGGTAACCGCGCGGAGCTGTTCCACGAGGTGTTTCGCATGCGCACGCCTCAGGAGGACATGTTCGGGCTCACCCAGGACCAGGCGTATGCTCTGCTGACATCCGAGAAGACGGACGAACTCCTTGAAACCATCATTTCAGGTCAGAATTCCTCAAGACCATCAGTTCACGATTTAACTACCTATTAGTTAGTACCATCAATTCAAGCAAAAGCTCTGAGACCCGTATCTCAAGTGGAAAGACCTTAAAAAACCAATTTTTCAGGTTAGAGCTTCTTCATGAGACTATTGTTTTAGTTGGGAACTCCTTGACGAGCATTTGTTAAGCAATAAACTCCTTAAATTCACCTTCATTATCTTCATGTAGGATGCTGGTGTGCCACCATCTTAGGATTGCTGTCTCGGTTTTCCACTTCAGCCCTGACTGTTTCATTCTCCTGTTACTGCTCTTGCATGCTCGTCTCCTTCATCTCTTCTCCCTCCGGCTCCTCCCTACCCTAGCACACAGCCTCCTTCCCCTCTGTAACTCCTTCCTCCTTCACCCCCCCTCTTTCCCCCACACACCCCTCCTCCACCAGCATTCGAGCGGTGCAAGCAGCACTACGACTTTGTGGTGATAGAAGGCTCGACGCGATTGGTACACTTGTTTCCTACAACCCCCTCTTTCCCAACCCCCTCCCCCCCCCCCCCCCGCCCCCTCCCCACTGCGCGCCTGCACCCACCAGCGTACGAGCGGTGCAAGCGGCACCATGACTTCGTGGTAATAGAGGGCACGTCCATGCGTGACGGCACCAACACATCGCCCCTCAACGGCCTCATTGCCTCTGCGCTCGAAGCCCCCGCTCTGCTGCTGTCTGACGGCCATGCTGCCTCGCAGTTCCACCCCAAGCACACCGAGGTATGCACATCCCATCCCAGCTTCTTGGTGCTTCTGGGAATCATCAAAACCAATTGTACATATACTACACTAAACAACACCATGCAGTTTTACTGCGTCACTACCCCTCTTCCTCACGCAACTCTATTCTTCATGAGATGCCTTACTTTCACGCTTCTGCCCCCTGCAGTCAACCGGTGCTGAGGACTGGGAGTGGAAGGATAATTCTGAGAATTCTCAAAAGTACATCTCGTCCACCATCCCTGTGCCTCACTTCACTTCCATGTTTCCTGTGTGGCTCTCCGTGTGCCTCCCGTGCAGTCAGGCGGTGTGTTTGAGGACTGGGACTGGGAGAAGGAGGCAGCAAGGTGCATCCTGGACCATGCGCGCATCATGAGGCAGTCGCGTGTGGACGTGGCGGGTGCGCTCATCACCACTTCAATGCATCTCATGTGTCTCCCCGTGTACTCTCATGCCCCTTGAGCAGCTCGCCCTACTTTCCCCAGCGCCTCACTTCGACTCTCCCTGTGTGTCTCCCCATGTCTCACCTTGTCTCCCCACGTCCCCCGTGCAGTCAGGCGGGGTGTTTGAGGACTGGGACTGGGAGAAGGAGGCAGCGGGGTGCATCCTGGACCATGCGCGCATCATGAGGCAGTCGCGCGTCGACGTGGCAGGGGCGCTCTCATCCCATCACTCCCTTCCATGCTTCCCATGTGTCTCCCCGTGTACTCTCACGCCCCAGAACAGCGCGCCCCTCTTGCCCCAGTGCCTCACTTTACGCTTCCTGTGTGTGTGTCTCCCCATGCCTCCTCTTGCGCCCCCGTGCCCCCCCTGCAGTCAGGCGGGGTGTTTGAGGACTGGGACTGGGAGAAGGAGGCAGCGGGGTGCATTCTAGACCATGCGCGCATCATGAGGCAGTCGCGTGTCGACGTGGCGGGGGCGCTCATCTACCGCATGCCCAAGACGTCCCGAGGGGCGGCGCGGCTGAGGGAGTACATCACCCGCGCACACATCCCCTTCGTGGGGGCCATCCCTGAAGATGTCTCACTCGAATCCTTCCAGGTGCGGTTGTGGGGGAGAGAGGAAGCGGGAAAGGGGGGAAGGGCTGATGTTCGGCATGGGAAACTGCTGTATGGGGGTGGACAGGCGAGGGGTGTGGTGGTGGGGGAGTGGAGAGAGTGAGGCGCGGACGTGGCGGGGGCGCTCATCTACCGCATGCCCAAGACGTCCCGCGGGGCGGCAAGGCTGAGGGAGTACATCACCCGCGCGCACATCCCCTTCGTGGGGGCCATTCCCGAAGATGTCTCACTCGAATCCTTCCAGGTGCGCTTGTCAGGGAGAGAAGAAGCGGGAAAGGGGGAAGGGCTGATTTTCGGCATGGGAAACTGCTGGTATGGGTGGGGATGGGTGAGGGGCGTGGTGGGGAGTGCAGTGAGGGAGGCGCGGACGTGGCGGGGGCGCTCATCTACCGCATGCCCAAGACGTCCAGAGGCGCAGCGCGGCTGAGGGAATACATCACCCGTGCACACATCCCCTTTGTGGGGGCCATTCCCGAGGATGTCTCTCTCGAGTCCTTCCAGGTGCTCCACGGGTTTAGGAGAGGGTTTAAGATGAGGAAAGGAGGGAGAGTCGGGAGGGAATGGGTGATAGGTGCATGGGAAACGGTTGTATGGGGGCGGGCACAAAGCAGTGAGCACTGGCACCCGGGCAGTGAGCTCTGAGCAGGGAAGGGGTGTGGTGGGGAGTGCAGCGAGTGAGGTGAGACGTGGCGAGGGCACTTATCTACCGCATGCCCAAGATGTCCAACATGACCTCCGAGGTAATCCAACTCCCTCCCCTCCCCCCTCCCTCTCCCATTACACCACTCCCCTTACTTCATCTCCCTGCAGGTGGAGGACGTGACGTGAGTGCCGAACGTGCATGTGCTGTGTGGGGACTTCGTTCCCATCATTCACCCCACCCCTTTCTCCCCCTGCCCCACACACACACACCTCGCCTTCCCCCCTTCAGGTGCAGGACGTGGGGCGAGTGCTGAACGCGCACGTGCTGTACGGCGACGTGCCTCACAGCAACAACATGACCACCGAGGTCACCCTCCTCCCTCCCTCTCCTCCTCCATCCCTCCCCCCCCCCCCCTCTCTCCACCCTCCCCCTCTGCCCCACACCTCCCCCGCAGGTGGAGGACGTGGCGAGAGTGTTGAACGCACACGTGCTGTATGGCGACGTGCCTCACAGCAACAACATGACCACTGAGGTCACGCGCACGCTCGTGGCCACTCTCCATCTCGCAGACCTGCTCTCCTACATCCCACCCTCCGATGACCCGGGCAAGGGCGTGCTTGTCGTTGCTCACGCCAGCCGCCCGGATATTCTGCTGGGGATGATTGATTTGCATGAGACGCACCTCAGCACCCAGGTACGTGTGTGTCTGTGTGTTCAGCGTATAAGTCAGGTGTTGTGTAGGTAGACAGACAGCATTACATACATGTGGGAGAGGCATATGGGCAGCACTACACATGCACGCTCGTGGCCACGCTGCACCTGGCGGACCTGCTCTCCTACATCCCGCCCTCCGACGACCCGGGCAAGGGCGTGCTGGTGGTGGCTCATGCTAGTCGCCCGGATATCCTGCTGGGGATGATCGACCTGCATGAGACGCACCTCAGCACCCAGGTGCGTGGGTGCGTTAGTTCAGTGTGGAAGCCAGGTGTTGCGCAGGTAGTCAGTCAGCAGTTCATGTGGGAGAGGGGTAGGTACTAGAAGGTAGGCAGCACTGAGTGCGCACGCTCGTGGCCACGCTGCACCTGGCGGACCTGCTCTCCTACATCCCGCCCTCCATGTGTACGTGGGAGCAGTGCACGTGGGGGTGTCGTGTGCATGCCTCTGTGGGCTCGTGATGGCACCTATAACCCTGCTCTCGTCATGCTGCTTGTAAATCGACTCAAAAGTCACCTCGTTTTTGAGTCGACTCAAAAGATGCCTCTGCTGCGGGCTCCTGATGGCACCTATAACCCTGCGTTCGTCATGCTGCTTGTTGGTGCTTGCAATGCTCATTGCATGTGTGCACCTCCTCCATTCATTCATACCCCCCCTCTCCACCTCCATCCCATTATCCTTCCATCTTTCCACCTCCATCTCACCATCCCACCATCCCACCATCCCACCATCCCACCATCTCCTGCAGGTGGCAGCCATGGTGCTCACCGGAGGTTCGCCTCCTCCCCTTGAAGTCGACATGCTCATTCGGGTATGCTTGCTGGGACCAGGATGAGTGTGCACGATACTCGTCTGTGTGGAGGAGGGAGGGAGGAGGGAGGGGAGAGGCAAGAGCAGAAGGGGTGGGGTGGGGAGTCCAGAGGGAGAGCTGTATGGAAAGGTTCAAGAAGAAGCCACGCTCTCTCTTGATGAGCATGGGAGTGTCGCATCGCGTATGCCCATTCACATCAGAGCATTGCTCGGCCAGTCCCACTTAACCCCTCCCTTCTCCCTCCATCACTCTTCCTCTACCACCAACTACTCTCACCAATGCCCACCTTCCACTCACACCCTCTCCCCCCTGTTTTTCCAGAGCCGGCCCACGCGAGTGTCTCTCCCAGTGCTGCTGTCCCCCAAGGCCACACACGACACGTGCATCGCCCTCACCAATGCGCAGCCTGAGCTGCACGCCACGTCCCACCGCAAGATTGAGCGCGCCGAGGTGCGTGACCTGCTAGGGTGCATGGCGGAACTGTGCTGCTGTCAACGAGCATGGTGACTTTTGAGTCGACTCAAAAGTCACTGCGTGACCTGCCAGGGTGCATGGGCAGGGCGGAACTGTGCTGCTGTCAAGGCCGCATGGGCTGGCCTGTGGTGTGGTTCTGGGTTGTATGGGTGCATGTGCTGTGTAGTGTACAAGCTAGATATCCCCTTGAAGCCGTGCACCATCCAGGTGTTGCTTCCTTATCACCCCCCTCTGTACCTCCTCCCGCAGGTGACATGCTGCATGCTGCACCAGGTGCTATTCAAGGAGCGCCTCCTCTGACTCGACTTCCCCCCCCCCCACCCCCTCTATCTCTCTCTTTCTCTCCCTCTCCTCCTCCCCGCAGGTCATATTCCATGAGAACGTGGATATGCGCATGCTGCACCAGGTGCTCTTCAAGGAGCGCCCCATCCGCATGAACCCCAAGCTCTTCCAACACACCATCTTCGACAAGTCCAGAGAGGCACAGTCGCACATCGTGCTGCCAGAGGTAAGCCTCTCACCGTCTCCCTTACCGCACTACACCGCTAGAAAACCCTCGGCATGAACCCCAACCAAGCTCTTCCAGCACACCATCTTTGACAAGTCCAGAGACACACACTCCCACCCACCGCACTGCACCTTTAGAAACCCCTCTCTTCCAGCACACCATCTTTGACAAGTCCAGAGACGCCCAGTCCCACATCGTGCTGCCAGAGGTATGCCTGTTAACCCCAACCTCACCTCACTGCACCTTTAGAAACCCCTCTCTTCCAGCACACCATCTTTGACGAGTCCAGAGACGCCCAGTCCCACATCGTGCTGCCAGAGGGGAGATTGTCTCTCCAATCCCACTGTACCGCACTGCACCCCTAGAAACCCCTCTGCTCCGCATGCACCCCCAAGCTCTTCCAGGAAACCATATTTGACAAGTCCACTCTCGACCATCTTCCTCCTTCCTTCCCCCTACTCATCTTAACTGAACTCAACCGCACTGTACCTCTTCCCTGTTCACAATCCCCTCAGGGAGCGGAACCGCGGACAATCCAGGCAGCAGGGGAGGTGCTGCGGCGGTCGCTATGCCGGGTGACTCTCATAGGCCATCCCGATGAGATCATCACGACAGCCAAGCAGCTAAGAGTGGACCTGTCGGGCGCTGACATTGTGCACCCGCCCTCCGCCCCCAATCTAGACCCTCTCCCTCTTTCCTTCCCTTCCCCCTACTCATCCCGAACCGTACTCAACCGTCTGTAACTCTGTTTCCTTTTCAATCCTTTTTCAGGGAGCGGAGCCGCGGACCATTCAGGCAGCGGGGGAGGTGCTGCGGCGGTCGCTATGCCGGGTGACTCTCATAGGCCATCCCGATGAGATCATCACGGCAGCCAAGCAGCTAAGAGTGGACCTGTCGGGCGCTGACATTGTGCACCCGCCCTCCGCCCCCAATCTAGACCCTCTCCCTCTTTCCTTCCCTTCCCCCTACTCATCCCGAACCGTACTCAACCGTCTGTAACTCTGTTTCCTTTTCAATCCTTTTTCAGGGAGCGGAGCCGCGGACCATTCAGGCAGCGGGGGAGGTGCTGCGGCGGTCGCTATGCCGGGTGACTCTCATAGGCCATCCCGATGAGATCATCACGGCAGCCAAGCAGCTAAGAGTGGACCTGTCGGGCGCTGACATTGTGCACCCGCCCTCCGCCCCCAATCTAGACCCTCTCCCTCTTTCCTTCCCTTCCCCCTACTCATCCCGAACCGTACTCAACCGTCTGTAACTCTGTTTCCTTTTCAATCCTTTTTCAGGGAGCGGAGCCGCGGACCATTCAGGCAGCGGGGGAGGTGCTGCGGCGGTCGCTATGCCGGGTGACGCTCATAGGCCATCCCGATGAGATCATCACGGCAGCCAAGCAGCTGCGCGTGGACCTGTCGGGCGCTGATATCATCCACCCGCCCTCTGCCCCCAACCTGGACCTCTATGCTGAGCTGCTCTACCAAGCCCGCAAGGATAAGGTGGGCTACTGTGAGGTTTGGACAAGGTGGCTTGGAGAAGGCTTGTGCAACAGTGTGGATGTGTCGGGCGCTGACATCGCCACCGCCCCCAACCTGGACCTCTATGCTGAGCTGCTGTACCAGGCGCGCAAGGACAAGGTGGGTTGTGAGCCTGGCTGCCTGGGAAAGGTCAGTGCAATCGTGGGGATACTGGGTTGTGTATGTAGGCGCGCTTTGAGTCATTGTCCACCCGCCCTCCGCCCCCAACCTGGACCTCTACGCTGAGCTGCTGTATCAGGCACGCAAGGACAAGGTGGGTGATGAGGCTGGGAAAGGCTTGTGCAACAGTGGAGATACTGGGTGCGTAGGTAGGCGTGCTTTGAGACATCGTCCACCCGCCCTCCGCCCCCAACCTGGACCTCTATGCTGAGCTGCTCTACAAGCGCGCAAGGATAAGGTGGGTGATTACCTTATGTTGTATCAGGTGCATACGGACAAGGTGGGTCGTCCATGGAAAGGGCTAGTGCAACAGTGGGGATGCTGGGTGAGTGAGTGTACTCGAGAGACATCGTCCACCCGCCCTCCGCCCCCAACCTGGACCTCTATGCTGAGCTGCTGTACCAGGCGCGCAAGGACAAGGTGGGCCATCGTCTTATGCTGCACCATAGCTTGCAAGAGTATGGTAGGTCTTCAGCCCCGCTACTCGTACCTATCCTTGATGCACAGCGTAACCTTTCATGTGCACGTGATCACACAACCCAACTACCATCCTTCTGACCCGTCTCCTTCCTTTACCGTGCCTCTCCCCACGGCGTGACCCTACTGGAGGTGCACGAGCACATGATCACGGACCCCAACAACCATCCTTCTCCCCTCCCTTCTCTTCCTGTCCGTTGCTCATCCCATCCCCTCCTCTCGTTCTTCTCTGCAGGGCGTGACTCTAATGGAGGGCCATGAGCACATGATCACGGACCCCAACTACCATTCCATCTCACCTCCCTTCCCTTCCCCTACCTTCCTGTCCATACGTCTCCAGGGCGTGACCCTGATGGAGGCCCACGAGCACATGATCACGGATCCCAACTACCTGGGAACGGCCATGGTGGCAGCAGGCGATGTGGATGGCATGGTGTCTGGTGCCGTTCACACCACCATCGCCACCATCCGCCCCGCCCTTCAGATGATCCCTGTGAGTGCTGCATCAGGTTTACTGAATATTCAGGTGGTGTAGGCTTATGGTGGAATGCAAAGCGTTGATGATCCCAGCGAGTGCTGCTTTGAGACGACTCTAAAAAAAGGTGGTGTTGGCTCATAGCACATGCGCACTACACCACCAATACAACAGGCGCCCATCCTCTTCCATCCCCTCACGCCCTCCCTTCTCCTCCCTTCTCCAGAAACTGCCCAACACGGAAATCGTCTCCAGCGTCTTCTTCATGTGGCTGCCCACTCTTGCCATGTGAAACACTTTGTGCCGTGTGCTCTGTCCCTACCCTACATTACTGATCCACCCTCTCTGTCCCTACCCTACATTACTGATCCACCCTCTCTGTCCCTACCCTACATTACTGATCCACCCTCTCTGTCCCTACCCTACATTACTGATCCACCCTCTCTGTCCCTACCCTACATTACTGATCCACCCTCTCTGTCCCTACCCTACATTACTGATCCACCCTCTCTGTCCCTACCCTACATTACTGATCCACCCTCTCTGTCCCTACCCTACATTACTGATCCACCCTCTCTGTCCCTACCCTACATTACTGATCCACCCTCTCTGTCCCTACCCTACATTACTGATCCACCCTCTCTGTCCCTACCCTACATTACTGATCCACCCTCTCTGTCCCTACCCTACATTACTGATCCACCCTCTCTGTCCCTACCCTACATTACTGATCCACCCTCTCTGTCCCTACCCTACATTACTGATCCACCCTCTCTGTCCCTACCCTACATTACTGATCCACCCTCTCTGTCCCTACCCTACATTACTGATCCACCCTCTCTGTCCCTACCCTACATTACTGATCCACCCTCTCTGTCCCTACCCTACATTACTGATCCACCCTCTCTGTCCCTACCCTACATTACTGATCCACCCTCTCTGTCCCTACCCTACATTACTGATCCACCCTCTCTGTCCCTACCCTACATTACTGATCCACCCTCTCTGTCCCTACCCTACATTACTGATCCACCCTCTCTGTCCCTACCCTACATTACTGATCCACCCTCTCTGTCCCTACCCTACATTACTGATCCACCCTCTCTGTCCCTACCCTACATTACTGATCCACCCTCTCTGTCCCTACCCTACATTACTGATCCACCCTCTCTGTCCCTACCCTACATTACTGATCCACCCTCTCTGTCCCTACCCTACATTACTGATCCACCCTCTCTGTCCCTACCCTACATTACTGATCCACCCTCTCTGTCCCTACCCTACATTACTGATCCACCCTCTCTGTCCCTACCCTACATTACTGATCCACCCTCTCTGTCCCTACCCTACATTACTGATCCACCCTCTCTGTCCCTACCCTACATTACTGATCCACCCTCTCTGTCCCTACCCTACATTACTGATCCACCCTCTCTGTCCCTACCCTACATTACTGATCCACCCTCTCTGTCCCTACCCTACATTACTGATCCACCCTCTCTGTCCCTACCCTACATTACTGATCCACCCTCTCTGTCCCTACCCTACATTACTGATCCACCCTCTCTGTCCCTACCCTACATTACTGATCCACCCTCTCTGTCCCTACCCTACATTACTGATCCACCCTCTCTGTCCCTACCCTACATTACTGATCCACCCTCTCTGTCCCTACCCTACATTACTGATCCACCCTCTCTGTCCCTACCCTACATTACTGATCCACCCTCTCTGTCCCTACCCTACATTACTGATCCACCCTCTCTGTCCCTACCCTACATTACTGATCCACCCTCTCTGTCCCTACCCTACATTACTGATCCACCCTCTCTGTCCCTACCCTACATTACTGATCCACCCTCTCTGTCCCTACCCTACATTACTGATCCACCCTCTCTGTCCCTACCCTACATTACTGATCCACCCTCTCTGTCCCTACCCTACATTACTGATCCACCCTCTCTGTCCCTACCCTACATTACTGATCCACCCTCTCTGTCCCTACCCTACATTACTGATCCACCCTCTCTGTCCCTACCCTACATTACTGATCCACCCTCTCTGTCCCTACCCTACATTACTGATCCACCCTCTCTGTCCCTACCCTACATTACTGATCCACCCTCTCTGTCCCTACCCTACATTACTGATCCACCCTCTCTGTCCCTACCCTACATTACTGATCCACCCTCTCTGTCCCTACCCTACATTACTGATCCACCCTCTCTGTCCCTACCCTACATTACTGATCCACCCTCTCTGTCCCTACCCTACATTACTGATCCACCCTCTCTGTCCCTACCCTACATTACTGATCCACCCTCTCTGTCCCTACCCTACATTACTGATCCACCCTCTCTGTCCCTACCCTACATTACTGATCCACCCTCTCTGTCCCTACCCTACATTACTGATCCACCCTCTCTGTCCCTACCCTACATTACTGATCCACCCTCTCTGTCCCTACCCTACATTACTGATCCACCCTCTCTGTCCCTACCCTACATTACTGATCCACCCTCTCTGTCCCTACCCTACATTACTGATCCACCCTCTCTGTCCCTACCCTACATTACTGATCCACCCTCTCTGTCCCTACCCTACATTACTGATCCACCCTCTCTGTCCCTACCCTACATTACTGATCCACCCTCTCTGTCCCTACCCTACATTACTGATCCACCCTCTCTGTCCCTACCCTACATTACTGATCCACCCTCTCTGTCCCTACCCTACATTACTGATCCACCCTCTCTGTCCCTACCCTACATTACTGATCCACCCTCTCTGTCCCTACCCTACATTACTGATCCACCCTCTCTGTCCCTACCCTACATTACTGATCCACCCTCTCTGTCCCTACCCTACATTACTGATCCACCCTCTCTGTCCCTACCCTACATTACTGATCCACCCTCTCTGTCCCTACCCTACATTACTGATCCACCCTCTCTGTCCCTACCCTACATTACTGATCCACCCTCTCTGTCCCTACCCTACATTACTGATCCACCCTCTCTGTCCCTACCCTACATTACTGATCCACCCTCTCTGTCCCTACCCTACATTACTGATCCACCCTCTCTGTCCCTACCCTACATTACTGATCCACCCTCTCTGTCCCTACCCTACATTACTGATCCACCCTCTCTGTCCCTACCCTACATTACTGATCCACCCTCTCTGTCCCTACCCTACATTACTGATCCACCCTCTCTGTCCCTACCCTACATTACTGATCCACCCTCTCTGTCCCTACCCTACATTACTGATCCACCCTCTCTGTCCCTACCCTACATTACTGATCCACCCTCTCTGTCCCTACCCTACATTACTGATCCACCCTCTCTGTCCCTACCCTACATTACTGATCCACCCTCTCTGTCCCTACCCTACATTACTGATCCACCCTCTCTGTCCCTACCCTACATTACTGATCCACCCTCTCTGTCCCTACCCTACATTACTGATCCACCCTCTCTGTCCCTACCCTACATTACTGATCCACCCTCTCTGTCCCTACCCTACATTACTGATCCACCCTCTCTGTCCCTACCCTACATTACTGATCCACCCTCTCTGTCCCTACCCTACATTACTGATCCACCCTCTCTGTCCCTACCCTACATTACTGATCCACCCTCTCTGTCCCTACCCTACATTACTGATCCACCCTCTCTGTCCCTACCCTACATTACTGATCCACCCTCTCTGTCCCTACCCTACATTACTGATCCACCCTCTCTGTCCCTACCCTACATTACTGATCCACCCTCTCTGTCCCTACCCTACATTACTGATCCACCCTCTCTGTCCCTACCCTACATTACTGATCCACCCTCTCTGTCCCTACCCTACATTACTGATCCACCCTCTCTGTCCCTACCCTACATTACTGATCCACCCTCTCTGTCCCTACCCTACATTACTGATCCACCCTCTCTGTCCCTACCCTACATTACTGATCCACCCTCTCTGTCCCTACCCTACATTACTGATCCACCCTCTCTGTCCCTACCCTACATTACTGATCCACCCTCTCTGTCCCTACCCTACATTACTGATCCACCCTCTCTGTCCCTACCCTACATTACTGATCCACCCTCTCTGTCCCTACCCTACATTACTGATCCACCCTCTCTGTCCCTACCCTACATTACTGATCCACCCTCTCTGTCCCTACCCTACATTACTGATCCACCCTCTCTGTCCCTACCCTACATTACTGATCCACCCTCTCTGTCCCTACCCTACATTACTGATCCACCCTCTCTGTCCCTACCCTACATTACTGATCCACCCTCTCTGTCCCTACCCTACATTACTGATCCACCCTCTCTGTCCCTACCCTACATTACTGATCCACCCTCTCTGTCCCTACCCTACATTACTGATCCACCCTCTCTGTCCCTACCCTACATTACTGATCCACCCTCTCTGTCCCTACCCTACATTACTGATCCACCCTCTCTGTCCCTACCCTACATTACTGATCCACCCTCTCTGTCCCTACCCTACATTACTGATCCACCCTCTCTGTCCCTACCCTACATTACTGATCCACCCTCTCTGTCCCTACCCTACATTACTGATCCACCCTCTCTGTCCCTACCCTACATTACTGATCCACCCTCTCTGTCCCTACCCTACATTACTGATCCACCCTCTCTGTCCCTACCCTACATTACTGATCCACCCTCTCTGTCCCTACCCTACATTACTGATCCACCCTCTCTGTCCCTACCCTACATTACTGATCCACCCTCTCTGTCCCTACCCTACATTACTGATCCACCCTCTCTGTCCCTACCCTACATTACTGATCCACCCTCTCTGTCCCTACCCTACATTACTGATCCACCCTCTCTGTCCCTACCCTACATTACTGATCCACCCTCTCTGTCCCTACCCTACATTACTGATCCACCCTCTCTGTCCCTACCCTACATTACTGATCCACCCTCTCTGTCCCTACCCTACATTACTGATCCACCCTCTCTGTCCCTACCCTACATTAC